TGGAGGGCCAGACGGTGCTTTTGGCGAGGAAATCAGAGATTTGAGGTTTTGTGTGAAGAAGAGAAAGCACATTGTGAGGGCCGTGATGAAGAAGATAATAAACATCGCATCGTCTTCGATGGGGCCAACGGCACAATGAAGATCAGTGGAGGGCCAGACGGTGCTTTTGGCGAGGAAATCAGAGATCTAGGTTTTTGTGTGGAGAAGAAGAAGGAGCACATTCCCCTGCTTTTGCCTTTCCCCTACCACTATGCGGAGTGTCGGATCGAGAGCTGAAGCCACATGAGAATGGGTGTTTAAACGCTCTAGCTGGTCATAAATTGTAAGACCTGCAGAAGAATTCGATGGAAGCTCATCTCAACGCCTAAAATATCTTTGGAGCAATCATTCATATTGTAACTAGCTATGGGGGATTAGAAGCCATTGGCTTGTTCTATGCCCTCTGGCTCAGTGCCATCTACTGTAGCTACAATGTGAGTGTATGCCCTGTGACTTGTCCTGTAATCTGTTCTGTACTTCAAGGTACAGCCCAACTCATGATACCTCCATTACCACGGCATCCTCGCTGGAGCAGTAGATTCCCACGTCGCCGACATCAAACGAACATTGCTCGGTTTGTTTCAGGCCCATGAGTTGCAGAAGTTCGAGATGAATAGGACGCCATCTTCCCACAAATGCCTCGGCGGCTGTCACATCGCCTTTCAGATTTCCCTCAAACTCTGCAAATCTGAAAATGTACGTATCTCTGATTTCGAGTACAATGTTTTGCAGTTCGCGCTCCAGATGGGCTCTGATTCTGTTGCTTTTGTTGGTCGCACTCTGAAACTCGGCTTGCAATCGCTGTTCAGACGCGTCCTGACGGACTCTTGTAGCTGGTGACCAGGCAGCCATATATTGTGTCTTGCTGCTGTTCCAAAGTTGATCGGTGCGAGATTTGATGCCTCGAGCGTGTTTCTCGAAGTCCTGGCAGTGTCGCTCGATGGCTTTAATCTGGCCGTTCAGTTTCATATAGTGAGTCTGAACGACGTTGGCAATGTTCTGATAGAGGTGCTCATAACAGGTACTGTATCCGTCACGGTAGGTTCGAAAATCTTGTTCGAAAGAGTGAATCCTGTTTTGAGCCTCAGTCCGGAAGTTTGCACGCTGCTTATTTTCGACAGCTGTCATCGCCGTGGGATCGGATACTATGACAAAACCCATGCCTTCTGTATCTGCTGTTGCTGGGGCCGTTGACAGGGATCGAGGCTGATGTTGCGACACAGAGGAGGGACCTGGAAGTAGTGCAGAAGCTTCAACGTTTGAGGCCGTAGACTGGCCGGACACTGCGGGTGTGACGACCGGAACCTCCTGGTTTCCTCTATCTGTCTGATCTGCTGCAAGAGTGGAGGAGTTCTGTGCTGTTTGTCCTTCCGTGTCGTCGACGGGCTGGCTTGCGGTTGGCTGGCTTGCGGTGGCGCCAGTGGACACGGGAATCGGAGGCGGTGGAGCCTCTTGAGCTTGAGTAGCTTGAGCGTCTACAATTGGCCCCTGCCGCATAGCGTTGCTGAAGGTGGCGCGGAGTTCTCTTGACCATTCAGCCCTCTCTCGTACAAGGAGCTCTTGTTGGGCGCGGTTGAACCCTGCCCTCCGAGCGGCATTTCGGACATGTTCCGCTTCCCTGCGTTCTCGAACCTCATCTGTGTCCGGTGCCTGACGTTGTCTAGTTCTGGCAGTGACGTTGTTTCCACGGCCGCGGGTACTGTCACGACCATTCTCACGGCTCTGGTGGCGTTCATGGCGGCGCTGAGGTCTTTGCAGAGACGATGAGGCGCGCCATCGTTGGACATTTCGTTCATTCGACTGGGACCGGTTGTATTCACGGTAACTGCGAGATTGCTCGCGTTCATTCTGTCGCTGGTAATGGGCTCGTTCGCCTCGAAGGCGTTCGAGTTCGAGCTCGACATCTGCAAGCCGACGCTCGTATTCGGTCGCGCGTCTTCGGTCGTCCCCCGAGGAGTCGCTGTCGCTGTAGCGGTCTCGACGGTGACGGCGATAGTCGTGGTCGTCATCACTTCGGGAGTGTCGACGCCTACGGTGGCTGCGATGCTCGGATCGGAAGGATTGACTCTCTTCCTCCGTGTAATGTGGTGTGTGGTACGGTGACCTGGCCCGATAGGCTGTTCTGTCGTCGCTGGGACATCGACGTCGTCCTGTATCATATGGTGAGTAGCGATGATCACGGTGAGACATGGTGATCGTTGGTTGAAACGTGTTCGAGATATCTTGACGCTTCAAAGAAGGGGAAGAAGTTCGAAAGCGCGCAGGCAGCATTTGCAGGCCGAAGCTTTTCACATTCACCGCCGACAGTGAATTGCTCAATTCAACCGCGCCCGAATTCCGAAATTCTAACTGCCAGTATGGTTTCGATCTGATGGAGCCAAAGTTTACAGATTCCATTACACGGTGACTGTACGGGTGCATTCTTCCTTATACGGGTTCTCTCCTGGTCGAGTTTGTTATGCTATAGCCTCAGTCATGCTCCACTCGACAGACCGATACCTACTGGCCTGCAGCATCTTCCATATTCATGATGACAGGACATACACCGCCGAGAGAAAGGGCCGAATGGATAAATGAATACCACTCAAAGACGTGGTCAATAAAATTCCCCTTGCTATTGAGGGTACTCCTTTGTCACACGTTCTACATTCCCTTGTTTCTTTCAATCCGAATGCTGTTTAATCAACCCCTCTTGTCACTGGCACCAGGCACCAGCAAACGCCCAGGTTTTATCACTATAAAAAGGACGACTACCTACATGACTGGAAGAGTCTCATATCAAGCTGCTGTAAGCGGATCTATTTATATATAGAAGCATAGGAGCGTTCGGTGTACGGTAAGTAGAGCTCCAAGGGCGTGCTCCGCATCCGGAAGTCTGGGAACGGAGACAGGGCGCACGGCTCAGCGCTTATCAACACTGCTGATTTGCTTTCTCTAGGCACCTTTGCGAGACTCTGTCAATCGTCCTTCATCGTCGCGAACGTGCGTGGCGAGAGTTACAGCGCGTGGCGAGAGCACATGTCATCCTGCGCCCTCGCAGCCAGAACTCTCTTCGTCAAGCTCCGTGAGACTCTGATCAACTTCGAAGGGGGCACTGTGACTAAATATGGACTCTACGAGGTTGAAAAAAAGGAGGCTGTCGTACGGGAAACGCAGGGGGGGGCGGCTGAGCGGTCTCAGACTTCAACAGCTCAAGCTTCTGCAGAAGTCATCTGGTAACAAACAAGCTGCAGCTCCCGATACAAATCATGCAGCCGAATCAGTAGGTGGAATATGCCATACGTCTCATGCATCTGCATGATCTTCCCGGGAGAGAAATCAACCACACTGCCAGTGTGTTACCAAATGCATATGGACTTGGGGTGCTGCCGCTGCGAATGCGAAGGTCAGCCTGGAGGTCATACCGCTGGTAGTCCGCATCGCCACGAGAGAGAACGAAACCGCAATGCGGATGACTCACGATGAACGCCATCGAAGTCAATGATACCAGTAGCATGCTGTTTAGGGGGGAGGATGTTCGCCAAGCCATCTGCAGAAGGCAGCACAGCACTTACTTTGGGAATCTTTCTAAAACTTCGCCCTCTCCCTCTTCTTCCGAACAACTCTCACAACACATCTGCGGTATGCGCGACAATATGGCTCGTAAATCCTGCAGACACTGTGAAATCCAGCGACGATCTGGCCACGCCTTTTGCACAAAATGCGGGAAGCCAACAGGGCACTCACACTCCCGCAACACTGCACGACAGTCCCGACATGGACAAGAACTCCGCAACACTGCACGACAGTCCCGACATGGACAAGAACTCCGCAGCCGCAATACAAGCGAACACAGTCGGTCTCACACTTCACGCAGATCTGCACCTCGGGCAGACCATCACGTGTATGACGAATACACCTCTTCTGCGTATAGTGATAGTCAGGAATCCGACACAGCGTCTACAGGGTCAGAGTCCCCGCGTCCATCTTTCCGCAGTGGCCGTGGGACTAGAGACTCCCGGCACAGCAGCACACGGCACCGATCGAGGCGGATTCGACGCTCCCCCACACCTCCGTCAAGACAGAACAGAGTCTCAAGACGTGAAGCTCGAGTCAACGAGTTTGAAGCGGACGATCTGTACGGTGCATCCGACGACGAATATCAGCGACAGCTTAGGGCACCACGACAACGCAGTGACGTCCCTCGTGAACCACCACGAAGCCATGGACGTACTCAAGCAGAACAACCATCCTCGTCGCAGTCTCATCGAGACAGCCGATTGCAGGCCATGGAAGCTAGATTGGACTCGCGATTGGACTCGCGATTGGACTCGCGATTGGACTCGCGATTGGACTCTCTTTTCTCTCAACTTGCACACAAGACCAGTCAGAACGAAGCAGGTGGCACTGCAGCACAGCCACAAAGCCGGCCACCACCAGCGCCCGTCAGCTCTCAACCATCTAGATCATATGCCTTCAGAACACCCGTCGAGACTTCTACTGTTACTGAAAGCAGTTTCCCTTCGATACCAGAGCTTGACGACATACCTATCAAGCTCGAGCCCAGAGGGGCCATACGTGAAAAGGTATTTGTGGGTGCTGTTTGCCACCACTGTGGTGGCCCGCACCCATCATGCTACCACAACAAAGGCTACTACGAAGGCTTCAAGCCATGCGGCACCGGGAGTCTGAATGTACAATGCAAAAACTGCAATCACCAGGGCCATGAATCACACGAGTGTAGAAAGGGAGAATGGCGTGATTTTCCTGACAATCCACCACTACAGTCCGAGCACAGCAAGCACGATCGCCCATGGCCTCGTGACTATGATTGGGTACCCTTGCCAAGATACTACTACAGACCGAACCTGTACCCAAAATCAGATCCGACGCACCCAGACCTTCCTGAAGCCATCGCGAAGCTTGGTGGGCTCAAAAAGGGGTTTGGTAAGACTCAATGGGGAATCATGCACTCCCTTCGAGTTTTAGATGCTGAACGTCGCGGTGTGCCAACACCCAAACCGAGTAGAAATGGGTACCGACCATGGTTTCCATTTACGCGTCCTCAGGCACCATCTGCTGATCCAGTGCCGGATTCAAAGTCGGAAAAGAAGACTTCGACCGCAGCCAGTTTCATGGAGCGTAAAGATGAAGATTTTCAGCTCCCACCGAGAGCAGATCTCAATCTTCGTTATGCACGCAAGCATGGCCAAATGTTCTCCGCAGGTTTTGAGGAGGCAGTGCGACCTTCAACTTCTGGAAATGCCGAGAATGGTGTGACTGTCACCGCTACACAGGATAGGCGGCATCCCCAGTTGGTCCCTCGAACAGACGAGGAGGCAAATCATCACATGAAAGATCTTGCGGACTGGGTCTTTAGTGAACTGGTGTTGAATGATGGTATGATCTACCTGTACCATGATTTCATCAAAAAGTTACTGGAACATGTCAACGAGAAAGCATCATCACAGTTTGCAAACATGATTCGGAATAATCCATCTGACTTGAAGGATGACGAGTTGATCAAAGGCCGTGAAAAGCTTCTTCACAAGTTTATGGTTGGATTGAGATGTCTCCTCGATGGGTGGACGAATGCAGTCACCCAGCTCATCGACATTATCAAAGTCTGTGTCGATTCCAGCCAGATGTTCCCTCTCAAAGGGTTGGATGACTTCAAAAGTTTACAATTGGAGCTTCAAGAAGCCTTTGACGTTTTCGAGGAGCGCATAGCATTTGATATTGCAAGATGCTTCAATGTCGAAGGTATTTCAGCAACATTTATCTGTTGGTTGGAAGAAACCTATGGACAGGAACTGGCCGATGGCCTTCAAGGAGCCCTCTTACCGGGAGAATGCAGCCCACGCACGCAGCTACCGCGCTTTTCATGGCCCCAATACTTCATCACACTATGCAGGAAGGCTTTCAGAGAGAAGCTTCCACATCAACATGACTCCAAGGACGAGTCCTGAGGTCACTCCGCAGACAGTCGAGGCGACTACAAGAGCGTGGAAATAGGCAAAACTCGCTCCCTGCATCATGATAGTCACTGCAAGTGGCTCAGCAAGGCCAGCCAGGACGTCATGATCCGGAATTTCTCATCATGTATGTTAGAGTGTACAATGTAGACGTTCAATGAAGACTTTTTGTATGGAAGCTTTCCTTCCTCTGTAGACTTTTCAAACTCCACGATGCACAGACCGTGATGGATTGATACAGAGCACTATGTAAAACAAGCTACGGGAGTACCACAGCTACTTGACCCGAGGCGATGTCATACATACCAACGCTGCCTTTGTGTCTTCCTCTTTGTACTTCCTAGCCTGGTGCAGAATGGATGCCCGACAGCCTCGTCGCTTCAGCTATGCCTTGGCGCAAGGGGCAGGACACGACCACATATCGCGCTCAAGACCCTGCGTACAGGTAGCCAAACACTCTCCCTCTCCGCCTATCCCAGACATTTCTGCTCATCGATTCAGATTTACCACCCCGCGTGCAACATGGCGAACAATCTTCCACAGAAAGCCCCGATCTTCTGTCAAGATCCACCGAGCGCAGAGGCAGCCGACGCACTCATATGGTCCAATTGGAGCGCGGAGGACAGGAAAAAATGGGCAAACACGCTGCTCTTTGAGAACGGGGGAAAACTCAAGACACTGATGAAGGAGAAATGGAAGCTTCCAGCGCCCGAAGCACCAGAAGTCTGGAGGGGCTCTCGTCTTCCGGTATGCGAAGACGTCGACGGAGACGGTCCGCCTGCCTCTCCCGAAGAGCCCTGGATCGAGCTCATGGACTGCGACCCGCTGCACGCAGCCTTCATTGCCAGCCAGCGCTACCCCGGCAAGGGCGTAGCGGTCCACAACTGGGCCGACCACATCATGTCCCCCGACGACCACACCGCAACGGCACACAAAAATCTCCAGTCGGAGAGCATGCTGGTGAGAACCACTCTCAAGGAACACCTGGTCGACGTAAAGTTTCCAAGAGACCAGGAGGACGTGCTCTACAGCGAAGGAGTCTTCTGCTACGGACTGGAACATGGCTCCTACGACGACAAACGACACCAGTTCTTCCTCAGCTTCATCGGCTGCGCGCCACCCGGAGTTCGCAACGATCCCGACATTCGAAGCAACGACCCAGTCAACAATTGCATCCTGCACCCGCAGAGACAGCTTATCGCCGACAAAGTCACTTGGATACTTCGTGTGGCTGCGATCCAGGGTGCGGCCGTCGTCGTCCTGGGCGCTTTTGCCGCACTGGAACCGCAGAGCACGATAGCGAGAATAACAAAAGACGTCCTCCTCGACCCGCCAGCCGGTGACAAATGGAGAGAAGCTGGCATACAAAAAGTGATCCTTGCGATTCCTGATTGGCCCTTCTTAAAGGGATCATTTCGAATCTTTGAAGAAGTCTTTTCTGGCTCGGAGCATGTCAAAGTAGCCAACCTTGGTGATCTTCTCGAGGAGATCTACCTGCGGCCCTTTTTCAACACACAGAGCAGCCCTTGACGACAGGTGCGACCGGCGAAAAGAAATTGTGATACCTACACGAAAACAGTGATCAACGACAGCTCTCCCAGATCAACAAAACTCCGTAGCGCACTATGCAGCAATTCGAGTCTGACTCATCGAGCATGATGTGATTGAGGACTCTGGGACACCCTCACCACTGCTGGGAGAGGGCCTTTGGGCTGGAAATCAGTACACTACGACGGTCATTGCGCATGACTGAGTATGTCTTCCCTCAGCGGCAAACGTCGACACCACGTTGGATTACGGGGCGGTATGAAGGCCATAGTGGCATAATGACGAGGAATTGTGCCTGCGAGGTAGCACAAAGACAGTGTTCAAGTAGGGAGAAACGGCCTTGATCCAGATTCAACAAATCACAAAGAGCTACGTAGCCGACGGGTCCAATGCGCTGTAGAGACTATGAAAGCACCCTCGTTAGCTCCGTATTCATAGATCAATAGAGGTGTACTTCAAAGTCGTGGAGCCTACACGGCCTCATCTGTCAAGGGAACAAAAAGTAGCCCGGACACTCCTTTTCTACACAGCACATCCTATGCATTGTTGTTGCTGGTAATGTAGAGTCTGATGTAATGCCGTGCAGGTCAGCCCAAGATCGCTTCATGCCGGATTGCCCTCACACTCACCTTCTGACCACAGTCCAGACGCGAGGTTCTCCATGACCAAGGCGACGCCGAGGTTCTTGGACGTGTGTGTTCAGGACACGCAGGAGTCGAGGAACAGTGTATCCATGCAAAGCATTCGGTTCGACAGTTTGCAACCTGTGGGCAGCCGGTTGCCATCTTGAGCCAGGTTGGCTGTTGGAAAAAGCAACAGTCGCACATCCAGTTGCCCATTGAGTCCGTACTTTCTGATGGGAATTGCATAGATACCAACCGTTCCTCCTCTATCATGAAGATAATTTTGTAGCGTGATAGGAATACGACACCTACTATGTTCGACATGTTCTATTCATAATCGGCGGTGCTTTTGCATACCACAATTCTGTGGCCTGTCGGCCCGAGGAACAGACTTTCCACGAAGTCTCCACATGGCTGGTTAGGTATAGCGGCTTGGGTCGTGCGTTGTGGTATTCCAGTTTCCTCACGCTCGTCAATCCACGCAGCACAAAGGACCGTTGAGTCCACGAAGGAGCTACAAGCAAAGTCGGCGGATCAAGACCAGCAGAACGAGATCGGCGAAAGGTCCATACTGCTGACTGTACCAAGATCATGAAGCTCAAGAAAGAAGCCGACTTGCAAACATACATCGTGTTGGTGTGTAGCGCACGGCTTCACTAGTTGAGGGTCAGGAGGTATTGGGGTGTACGTACTGAGCAATACACCTTCGAAGAGCCTGCCAGAAGAGAAAAGGAAGGGTCTTAAAGTTCATCGAGCCATATCATAGGGACCTGTCTGTCAATCCTCCTCTTCCTGGTTGTGTCCTCCTCTTCCTGATGGTGTGGATTGCGTGGATAGGCCTGGATTCTTCAGGCTCTCATGTCAAGTCGGGCCGGGGAGAGGAAGGACCGAAAGCTCCATTTGTACTCAAAGGCTAGAGGTAAGAAGAGGAACGTTGGAGGATGGATTCTACAGTTTGCCTGTCACGGACCTCTGTGGGTGGCCTGTTCCTCCTCTTCCCAGGTTATACCCAAATGTTCCCCCTCTTTTGGAGGCCAGAGCAAAAAGATCCTGACAGGAGATACGTCCGATGGAGAGAAGGTCTGGTAAGGATATTGGTGTGGTTGATCTGAACACGCAGGGGAGGAAGTCGAATGGGAGGATGTTTTGAGGGACTGCAACTCAGGTCAGAAATGATAACAGTACAGAGAGGTGTAGGATTCGCGTTCAATTGGACGCTTTGAGTGTCCAAAAGTGGTGGCATCCTCGTCTTGAGACAATGACTGAGTCTAGACGTGTTTGCTTGACGCGTGTCGCATTCACTGGCATGCCACATAACATCAACATCAGAGAGATACTCAACCCTTCACTCCCGTCGTGTATTGCCAGCTTTGGGCCAAAAGTTTGTATACGAGTGGTCTAGCACTGTGATCGCGTAGGTTTGTACTCAGGGATAACTCGTTCTTTACAGTAGTCTTCATGGTGCATCTACTACAGTGATATTGCTCTGCGGAACGCCTACTTGGATAAAGCATAAAGCACCTGCTGCAACATCCTCGTCACTCAACCGTATATCTACCTTACGTCTGAGTGGATGTCACAATTTGTAGGACTTGGATCATGATTATTTCTGCATATCTACCTAAGATACTAGTACTCAGGAACTCAGTTCCGGCTTAGTCCTCAAGCACAACCGCTCGCCCATATGCTTCACACAATCACATATCCGTGGTGGCGTTCAGGCTGACCCGACAAAAAACGCTCTCGTATGTAATAGAACTGTCACGATCCAATGCTGTGACGAGGTACTAGATCCGGACCTGAATGTCCTCTCCGCTCTGGTTTTCGTGATGCGGCAGAATACCGATTTCTGATTTACTTACGCCCAGTAACCGAGTTCATCGAGGTAAAGGAAGATCTGAGAAGGTCCACATTGCTGTCAAATCGTCATTGGGCCAAGACAACCTCCAATTCCCGACAATAGGAGCATTCAAGCGCTCCAACACCCATGTTCCAGAGCGCGCATCACGGTGTAGGCGCATCTGTGTAGGTTTCCACGGGCCGATTCTTGTTGTCTCACGGCAGTATCGCTAGGAGGAGATCTTGGACGTTTAGTTGAGGAAATCAGGGACAGGCGCTTTTATCCTGACCAGTCTCGACCGTCATGTCTATGTCACGATTCTTTGGTGAACGGTCTTTCCGAAGAGGATCAATGAAAAGCTGAGGCCAGGCAAAGCGCGGTAGCTGCGCACGCGGAGAGCTTTCGCCGGGAAGAAGTGCCCCTTGAATGCCGTCGGTCAGTGTCTTTCCATCATTTGCTTCCAACCAAGGGATAAATGTGATACCCTCGATCTTGAAGCAACAGGAAAGATGGCGTGCCATTTCGCTCTCGAAAGTATCAAAGGCCTGTTTGAGCATTTGTTGCAACTCATAAAAATCATTCAAGCCGCTGGACTCTAAGCTGTACACGGCGCATGCAGTTTCGATGGTGTTGGCGAGTCTGGTGACTTCGTACGTCCACCAATGTGGGAGACGCTTCAATGCTAGTAAGAACTGCTTGAGAGATTGTTCACTGCTTGTGAACTCGGATTTGTCGACCAAGTCGGACTGCTTGGCTCTGATGATGTTGGAGAATTCTAAAGCCTTGTCATTAACATCCGCCATGAGCTGTTTTATGAAGGTAGTGTATGTTTCGACCATGTCGGAATCCAGTACCTGCTCTCCAAAGACATAGTCTGCCAATTCCTTGATGTGATGATTTGCATCCTCGTCTGATTGAGGCTCTAGCTGTGGATGCCGCCCATTACGTGTCGCTGTGATTGGGCCACCGCCGCTCACAGCGTTGTGACGATGGCTCTCAAGTGCGTCAAGATCGGAGGGAAGTACAAGCCCGTTGAACCCTGGACTGCAGAGCTGGCCACGTTTACGGTTGTATGGAAGATTGAGTTCTCGTCTTGACGGAAGCTGGGAGCCATTATCTCTGCGTGGTGCTTCTTGGTCATCTGGATTGGCAAGAACTGTAGCTGAAACATTTTCTTCCAACTTTACATCCTGGACCAAATCGGAAAATGGTGTCTGTGGAGGAGACCATGGCCGAAAGTCCTTTCGATTGATTTTCGGTTCTCTCACGTTTCGACGTTTGGCGTCCAGAACGTCAATTGAGTGCTGGAGTCCCCATTCTTTCCTCGCAAAGCCTTTACGAAATCCAATCTTTGCAATGTCGGCAGGAAGGTTCGGATATGTTGGATCCGGTTTTGGGTACAAGTCTGGTCGATAGTAGTGTCTGGGAAAGGGTACGCATCCATCCGAACGAGGCCATGGCCGAGCATGAGCGCTATGCTCTGGCAGTAACGGTGGATTGTCAGGGAGATCCCGCCAATCTCCCTTTCCGCACTCGTCGGCTTCATGGCCTAGCTGACAGCATCTTCCGCACGTTACATTCGGGCTCCCGGTGCCGCTTCGCTTGAGGACTTCCCAGTAGCCTTTATTGTGATAGTATGTGGGATGTGGCCCGTTGCAATGTTGGCAGGATGTTCCCACGAACACCTTTTCGCGTATTGTCCCCACGAATCCGTACTTCATAGTTATTCTGTCGAACGGATCGCCCTCTTTGTACGGTGGGACAACATTCTCTGAAACTACTAGGGGTCTTGCAGCTTGAGGAGTCACTGCGGCGTGGCTTCCGCTGGCTACTGTGTCAGCCCGTCGTGGTGGAGGCATTTCCCGGCTCGTATGACTGTTTTCATCGCCGGATGCCCCGTACAAATCGGTGCTTTCTGACTCGTTGTCTCGGTCATTACGTTTGCGTTTTCGGTTGAGTCTTCGCGGAGGCGTTTTGGTGTATCCAGGACGCCGAGTGGTATGCAGTGTGCTGCTGTGCTGAGAGTCTGTGTTTGACCGACCACCTACGGACAGCGGGAGCCTCGACTCTGAACCGGACCGCTGGATGCTAACTGTAGATGTATTGTCTTCCCCATACCGGCGGTAGGTGGACAGAGGTGTAGATGTGCGTGTGAGCTGGGGACGTCCGAGGTCGCGTGCATCGCGGGTTGGGAGTCCTCGACCATGTTGGAATTGTTGTGCGGATTGTCGTGCAGTTTCGGGGGAATGTGGAAGGGTTGTCGATTTGTGGCAATTCCAGCAGACGAGAACGCCCGCTTGGAGTTGGATACGACAGTCTGAGCAATAATGAGAGTTCATGTTCATCCTATCGCGTACACTGCAGATGAAGGTTGTGGTGTTCGACGAGGGCAGTTCTGTGCGATACGGTACGCACACGGTTTTACTGCCTTGCTCTAGGCAGATAGCTTCGCGACATCACTGCGAAAACACGTATCGGCGCTGTTTTGGACGACACGACGCGTAGATGACCCTATTCACTTCATATACTTCAATTTCAGGATTCACACGCGGTCAGCTAAGACCCAAGATCGACCGTGGTTCTGGGGCGCAAGGCTGGGTTGATTCAGGAGGCACGAAAACGCCTCGGGTCATCGTCCTCCCCATGAAGGCTATAGAGAAAGCAGAAGCTAGGATGGGTAATCCCTGAGGGCTTGGAGTGGCTCGGAGAAACGTACCTAAGTATGGCACGATCCTGGATTCAAGAATGCCTGCGATGATCATGTCGACGAGGGGAGATTGTAGAACTTGGAGATTGAACCGAGATCACGATTGGTTTTGCATATCTACTCACGCACTCACTTCCAGCTAGTCCTCAAGCGCAGCCCCTCGTCCATTTGCTTCATACAACTACATAACCCTGGTTGGTGTTCAGGCTGGCCCTGACGGAAAACAAAGCTCTTTGGTGAGGACACCCTCAAACGACATGTTGTATTTCACTACTCGGCACATAGTTGTTCCTTGCGAACGTTCCTATGAAGCTATCAAGGTCCTACACCTTCGTGCGAAGCGGCATTCGGGTTGGCTCATATTGGGTATGCTCGGTAGCGATGCCTAGTCACGGCTTTCTTGGTCGAGTCAACCATCATGCGTACGTAGATCCGAGGATATGGCCTTCCCCGACAACAGCGCGGGTATATCGTCCCAGGCGCAGCTCGACAGAATCTTGCCAAAGGGATACCCTCGACGATCCAGCTCCTCCAGAACCTCCCGGCACCGATCGAGCTCGTCGGGTTCTCCGGCGGTCGTGAACACGTGCATGGTCAGACGCAGGGCGAAAAACACCGTCTGCGGGCCGAGGACGCGCATGTCGTCGGAGATCAGATACTCCATCGACTGGACGATCATCCGCGCCAGGTCCAGCACCTGTCTTTGTCGCCGGGCGAACTCGTCCGTCGCCGCGGGGATGCCGTTGTACAGCAGGAGGAGAACGGCCCAGTAGTTGACCATGATCCGTGCGATTCCGAAGTTCTGAAAGTGCAGGGCGGTGGGGAAGACGGAAGCAAATCGCGAGAGAAACGGTGCCGACGAAGGCCGCTCGTAGTACAGTGGTCCAGGGTGCTTTCGTGTGAGGTCCCCGTGCCAGGTGTCGAGCTGGGATTGCAGTTCCTGGCCCCGGCCGATGATTCCCGCTCTCTTCTCGTCGGCCGTGGCGTCGAGTCGTTCATTCTCTGCAATCAGGTTCGCAAGTTGGGCCATCATGTCGCGCAGCCGGTCGAGGTCGGACTTTGGGTGTACCTTCCAGGGGACGGTCAGCCAGTCCGGTTGCGCGAGGAATGTCGACCTGCGAGTGGCCAACGAGTAGGTGAGCTGCGAGAGGTGAGCTGCGCGGCGACAAACACGGTTTGGAGAATCTGCACGTACACAACTGGATCTGAAGTCCAGAAACAGGCGATGGCTCAGCCCGGAAACGTGCAACTCTGGCCCTCGAAGCTGTATCAGCCTGGCGATACCCTCGATGTGGCTGGCCCATCCGCCGGTGTTGTGTCCTGAGACTTCCAGTAGCTGTCGCTCTCGTTTGGTCAATTGACGGTTTTTACGGAGCATTCGGCGTGGTCCGAGACCGGGGGCCTACCTCAAACGTGGACAGTGCCATGCAGCTGGCGAGGGTCTGTTCCTCGAACAACAAATTGCCGCGGGAGAGAATGTCTTGTAGTCGGTGCAAAGCTCTGCCGTAGTTTGCCGTCCCTTCACGTCGCAACCTCTCGTCGCCGTGTTTGCGGCCCAGACAGACCAGACTCAATGCCAATATCGCGGAATCCAGAGAGGCGTCGTTTGCGCGTGGTGGAGTGATGGCCTGTAGCCAGGAAAGTTGAGGTCGGTGGCCAGTCGGGACCAGGGGCTGGTCTCTGGGAATGTAGTTGTCCAGAAATCTGACAAACACGTCCGAGAGGTCGAGTGAGAGAGAGAGGCTCAGCTTCTGGATTTCGAGAGACGCGGATTGAATCTCCTGACTCGCGAGAGATTCGAAATGAACCTTCTCACTCTCGAGGGATTTGGACTGAACCCTTCGACCCTCGAGAGATGCCGTGTCGTCCGTGTCAGGGGTGCCACGGGGAGTCTCACTCTCGATCGTGCGGAGGTCTGTGAGCGAGGTCAAAGGTTGAGACCGGGTCAACAAGGTATCGCGATCCAAGGCGCTCAGGTTCTTGAAATGTCGTTCTCGTTGATATCCTCCACATTCCAGATTACTCTTTCTGCATCGGGCGCAGCATGGCCTGGATCCATCGCACTACCACCGGGTTAAGTTTCGCCATTCACGGACGACGAAAAGGGTCAAAGTCGGCGTCGATACGTACGTGGATCTTTCGTTTCCTGCAGGTATTGCAGCCTTTGGATTTTCCCGCGACGCCCACCATCACCGTCGCATCTGAAAAGACCAGTACGGTGATTGTGTGACCAATGGCCAGTTTTTTTCGACAAGACTTGTACCGGAGGAGTCGGTGATGCACTAACTTAATGCTGACAGATCCGACGGTCGATGCACGGGGATTTTAGGCGTCTCGTCGCAAATCAGGCCAAGCAAGCTAGTCGTGTTCGGGTGTCGTCGTCGTGGCTGACGAGGTGGAAGGAGGTGGATCCTGCACGGTAAATGGTCTGGAACAGAGCGATCTCGCTTTGGCCCTTTCGGAACGAGGCGAATCATTCATATTTTAATTCTTGCTGCCTGTGTGACTTGACGTGTTTCGTCGCATTGCCAAGTAGAGAACGAGTACAAGTGCGCGTATTTTATTTGTGAGCAGGAGGGTTTTGCTCGACGGTGTTCCTACATTTCGAATCCGGCTCTACAAGTACACACGAGGGTGTTGGGAACTAGCATCGTATTCTGCGATGTCAGTGAATCTGCTGTTGGATCACTCCATATCTCTAGGATCTGGAAATTTGACGACTGCAATGATCTACGCGCTCGGGACACAAAAGTACAGGTACATACACACTTCACAACTTCTCAGGTCATATAATTACGATTACTCTACCACTCAGCCAGATCCTCGTCGTGGTCTCACTCGTCCACTCCTGACTCTCTCACTTTCTCTTCCTTGTGCCCACTCTCTGATAGAAACCAAAATAAAACACCACGCCATCAAAACTGCAGAGATGCCCATGATGACAGTGGCCACCACCATTGCAGGTACATGGTTTTCAATGATCGCGTCGACCGTGTCTCTGTTCTGTATTCCTCGTCAGTGTGAACCGCCCGTTTAGGTCGAGGGGGTGCCTTACACTGGCCATGAGCGTCAGACCTCCAGACATCAAACAAAATGATGTGACAAGCTCAGACGGTGGCCGAGATGGTGAAGTGGACTTTGCCGGGGTGATGTACAGCAACAGGTACGTGATGGCCCTCATGATCGATGCGCCTGTGAGGAAATTACCAAACTGCGAAGCGTCAGTCACCGTGGCGGCCGCCGGAAGCGCGAAGAGCATTACCCATTTGTGCATCATTGTAGATTCCATCGTGTCTTGATGGTGGCCGCCCAGAATTACACCCAGGAGAAATATGATCATGGTAGGTACGGGGTTCGTCGAGTAGCCCGGGATCGTATTCTGCTTTTCCTCCAGGGCGAGAGAGTCTTCCACCGATTCTCGAGAAGCTCGTGATTCAGCCATCAAGCCGCACTGTGCCGTGGTTAGTATCTTTGCCAGGCGATGGAAACCGGGGAGAAAGGTCAAACGCACCGCTCCACCGCCGATGAACAACAGCGATATGGCGACATGTTCGAGATCCTGTGCCGTCCACGCCCCTCCCCAGCCGGAGAGATGTTCCAGGAAGACGTTGGTGATTCCGTAGATGAAAATGAGCAAACACTCGAGCCCCTCCATGGTGAAGGGGCGACTCGGTTTCCTGGACGGAGGTTTTGTCGTGACCTTGAGATTCCACGCCCAGCCGAGTTCAGAAAAGCAACCGATGCAGCGGAGCACGGTCACGATACCGAAGAAGAAGAAGACGCCGCCTTTGATGAAATGCGCCAATCCGTTGAAGAGGTTGATTCCTTTCTAGAATTTTGTCAACGAGGACTCAGAGAGAATCAAACTTTGATTCTCACAAATATTCCAGCCATGGTGACTGTCCCGGTGCAAAATGAAACAAACGCCAATATGATCATCGTGATGAGGAGATTTGTAGATGCGGACGCGCCGATTCGGACGAGGCGACTCGACAGTGTCGTTCTGGACCAGCCGGTTCTCCACGAGAAGGTTCGTCTCTGCCGTCGGGAGGGTAAGAAAGTCAAGTTACGTCGAGGAGAGGACTCGCCCGGGTCTCTTGTTGAGCGCCGGTCATGGTCGAGGGACTCGTCGGAATCTTGGAAAAGTCTAGAGGACGACATGAGGGGGTGCCGATCGTGACTCGCATGAAATGTTGATTTCGGAGAAGGGGATCTCGAGACGCTCTTCACGACACTGACCACCGCCTCAAAGATGGCAATTGCCCACAACGTCCACGCGAGAGACGGGTGTGACGTGTTGGGATACAAGTCGGGCGTGTTGGAATTGTATGCCAGACCAAAGACGGTTCCAAGCCCGTGTAGGCAGAAAAGTAGGATTCGAGCTGGATACGCAATATTCGATCTGGCGACCTGTAAAGATACCACTGGATACATCAGTTTTCGGCCATGGCTGAGGGAGCTTGAGTCACTTGCGGATAGGCAGAGTTACTACCCAAGCCAGAATCATAAACCCAACGTGGGCATATAGGATGCCTGAGGAGGTAGGTTCTCTGAAATAATTTTCTGCAGGCGAAGAAGTGGATATAGATACATTGCCGTCGTCGACGCGGGCTTCAAGATGTAGTGCCATGGCAGTGACGGTGAGTCGAGTGCACGACGGAGGAAATGGAAGAGTTCCTCCTTACGTTGAAAACCAGGAAGTGAGGATGTCTTGTCGGTGCAAGGAAAGGTCTGGCAACATGTTTCTATATATTCCGCGGTGGTCCGAGTTGCCACAGACATACATGAGCAATAAATCAGCAATAAAAAATGGCTTCAAAGCCTTTGCCAGATCGCACTTTGTAACCCTAGAAGGATACCAAGTATGAGGCTCTCTGGGACGATGGATACTCGATGACGGGGCGTGTCGAGGCTGAAGCGTCCTTGGCACAAGGCTGTCATCGAACTAGGCCGAGAAGGGCAGCAAGTTGCGATATTGTCGGCGTAGAACTCATTGATAGGCAGATCAATATATCCACAACCAGACCGTTCCCTCATATCCGTGCAATTCGATCATGTCACCAGCTACGGCCAGTGTCTTGGGAGCGGCTCGGACCAAAATATGGTACGAGGCGTATAGAGCAAGGATAGGTAGAGTAATCCTTCTCGCTCAGGCCACCGAATTCACAGAGGCCGAGGTTGGAGACTGACAATTTGACCAGACAACAACGTGCACGATGCTCGAGAAGACGCATAGACCAAGCTTGATGGTAGACCAACACCGAACGAGAAAGGAGCGGTGGGAGAGAAGACTCGACGTGGATCATCACTCGGAGAGTGTGGTGGTTGATACTTTGCCTGGGGGTGAGATTCTGCAACAAAGCGACACCTCGAGTCGTTGAGAAGGAGGCCATGAGGAGGTATAACGTCTCTTCGACAGCGCCGTATAACGTCTCTTCGTCCGCGCCATCCTCAGTGTGGTCCTCTCCATTCTGCTCGTGGTAGATATCACTTTTGAGAAGGTGGTGTCTATGATCGAAACGGTGCAGCGAGCCCCTCCAGATGTCAATTCTCGCTCTTCATTCATGCAGATCGATAGACTTTGCCAGGCGGAGGTCTGACCGTTGTACACAAAGCGAGGGAGCATTTTCGATAGACAAAAGGTAGGTCAAACCATTTATCACCAGACAGAACATGACGGCGCCACGATCTCCTCTGGTCGCTGTTAAGGCCAGCTCTCATTTGTTTTTCCTCACGGTAGTCAAATTGTTCCCACCTCTTCTGATTGTGCCTCGCTTTCGCTTCGAAGGACGTCCGAGGGATCTATGGGAGTGACTAGCCTGCCGGAATGCAGTCATAAGTTCTGGCTGCCGATACAAGCCAGTCTCTAGGTTCTGTCTGTTGTTCTCACCTTCGGGCTGCAAATTAGCTTCTCGGCGCGGAGTATCTTACTCTCAATCGGGTCTGCATCGCCAGAACTTGTCGGTCTGCAGGCGCTGGCTTTTGTGAACACGTACTCACTTTGCGACAGGAGAGATCGCGGTCCGTTGTGAGCGGATGGACTACCTCACAGCCATTGACCATAGCCAGGTAGACAGACAAACAATTCCAACCTCATTGTGTCCTAGATCTGTAGACGGGTACAGCAACCGCAAAACTTGACGGTGGTAAGATGGTTCGATCAGACTCTTGATCCTGGACTGCGAATTATCGTGGCCGGCGCCGAGCAATGGCCTCGACATGGGCGGGGTGGGGCCCTAATTTCTGGAGAGCCGCGTTGGGAATACCCACCTGGAGGGGCTGAGGAACCCAAAAGGCAGCCCAACCAACCCCAGGGCGAGTGACCGGCTCCCCAAAGCGAAAATCAGGACAGAACCTACGGCATCATACCTATGGACGGATCCAGTGCATTGTCCCAGGCACGCCAATCAAAATTCATTTGTGAGAGCATACCCGGTGACAAGTTCGACTGGTCTGCTTCGACGTGAAACAGGTCTCGAGGACTTTCTTCTGGCGCCACCGGCGAAAGTTCACGGCTCGAGTGTTGTTGTGAACTCGGCGCGGCCGACGTGTCTTGCACGATCTGATCGCCACAGATACAGGAGTTTGAGGAGATCGTCGGGGATGGGTGCAGGACATGGTGGTCTGCTCCAATTTGTGCCAGAGCCTTCCGTCGTGCTCTGAGTAGCATTGTCCAAGCGTCCTTTCCAGCCGGCGAGAGTTGGCGCTGGGGAGGCTCCTCTCGGCTGACAATACCCTCGTCCACTCGGTAGAGTTCGAAAACGGCATCGATCAACCCCCGAGATAGTGGCGCGTGGTCGCTGTGAGGGTGCTGTAGAAGATCGGCCAGGAGCGTGGCCACTGCTTGGAGAGGCTGATAGGTCCCTGGGTACATCCAATGGTATGGTTCCGATGACGGATCGTTGCAGACTCGAATGAAGAGCTGGATGAATGCTTGGGCATGTTTGATGGCACTGTATTTCACGTAGCTGTCAGCCGTCGACGCTCCATCTCGAGCGAGAGTTCTTACTTCATTCGAATCACGTCGTGCACGGACATGGCCTGGTCGCGAAAAAGGGGACGGTAGAGCACGCAGTAGGCTTTGTGCACCATCAGATGCAATAGGAAGACCGCCCAAGCCGAGAAATCGACCACTTCTTTATCGTCGGCGTCTAGTCGAAGACTCCACGCCCGGTCGAACGGTCGTCCCTTGAGATTCTGCCCTTCCGCGACGCGGGTCGGCCTCGAAGAAGCAGGAGTCGACCTCAAAAGTGTCTCGACGGTTGACTTGACGCTGTTTGCAACATCCTTGAGCTGCTTGGCGACCTCGTTGACCTGGTCGAGCGATTGAAAGTGATCCTCGAAATGATACTTCAGCACTTCTCGGATCTCCTTGGTGACTTTGTAGCGTTGCAGGGCCACCACGTAGCGTACATCAACTGCAAAGCGTGGTCAGAAGAACACGCCAAAAGAACAAAATTGGAAACGGCCACGTACCCTCGGTGTTGACGTTTGAACCCCCTTCAACGCAGTCATGTGGGGAGATTTCGTCCGTGTTTGCCATTTTCTTGTCGATGAAAAGAGGTGAGAGACCCGAAGAGGCCGACGACATGACGTCGAGATGTAAAATGTACCACCAAACACGTCGCCTGGTCTCCATCTCGGCACGCGTGAAGCCTACGTCGGAGAACTGTCGATGGAGACCCATGCCCAGGGCCAGTCGGAAGGAAGTGGCGATGAAATCGGGCACATCCGAGAACTCTTCTTCTCTCACAAACTGGCTCTGGGCGAAAAGGTACGCGGCCAGGGAGTAAATGCTGGGACGTCGAGGGAATCCGGTCAGACTTGCGGACACCATGGCGGCAAAGTACATTTCCCCCGTGTCCGGAACATTTGAGTCGCCCAGCAGTAATTTCACCCGTGATTTGGATGCCGACGAGAGTGCCGAAAACAAAATAGATGTCAACAGACACAGAAAGCCTGGCTTCTTGAGCAACAAGAGGCTGGGCTCACTGTTGTGCATGTTTCCTGTCCTGGTGCCCTCCCAGAATTCGCCAAAGTCCTCTCCGAAACTTCGAAGGTGTAATAGAGGCATCAGGGGAAACACCGTGGAAAAGAAAAGCCTGCAGAGTTTTTCGCAAACCTCCCTTGTCGGCAAGAGTGCCATGACACACGAGACGTTGTAGTTTCTCCCGCAGAATTTACACTTGTTGGAGGAGGCCCCGGTCCACAGCGTCGAGGATCGAGGTGGTCGAAATTTCGCTCCAGCCCACCCTGAATGATCCTCGGATGCCGGGGGCCAACGTACAAAATTGCTTGATTCGTCTGGGACGTCATCATTGTCGTCCATCTCGTTACTGTCCTTGAGTTGAGCCGTCAGTCGACGGTACTAGGCAAAATTGGCGGGAAGCGTACCTTTGGCATGAGTGGATTTGCCCAGTACGTCGCTGGTGTGTAGACTGAGCGCCCACCGGCAAAGGCCGTCAATCGACCTTTCTCGCTGCTGTTCTGACGCGTGGTAGGCCTTTCAAGCGCTGAGTTCGAGTTAGCATGTCGGAGATTGATCGATTGCACGAGAACCTACAGACTCGCTGCGACCGTGCTTGAGATTCATTCTCTCGGGGCAGAGCTGCGGATGAGAGAGACGCAGACTGGATTACGACACCAGATTGATTCTCTGGCAACTCTAGAGTTGCGCTGGTGTCGTAGGTGCAAGTCAGACGGCTGCTGTTACACCTCATGCAGACTGGATGTGTCTGTCGGTTTGTCAGCGTCGAAAATTCTCCTCGGGTGCTCAGTCAATAATCCCACCCTATCACACCTTACTCTTCGTTGTCTGCATGTCAGACACGAAGTTACTGGGCGTTGTCGCTTCATCGTGTCCGAGAATTCCGGTGAACGTTCTCAGGTCAGGACCACGCTGCATCATCCGAGTCCAAGCAGGCAAGATGTTGGTCGTTCTGTTGATTCACGCCCGGTCGTCTCTGCAATCCGCCAAACGAGTGAATCGATGGTAAAGACAAGACAGCAGAAGAGATAAATTGATTGTCAATGCAAAGTGGGGACGCCTACCATCGGGGTAAGGCTAGCTTGCACGTGATATCCACCGGTCCATATTCTGTGGCCTATGTTTGTGCCTCTTAAATGTTCAGAGGTCGTTCTCTACTTTGATGATGGCAGGTCGAAGGAGGACCGATCTCGCATGCTGCTCTCCTGGTGTGTGGAGCGAGTTTCTACTCCCGAAAACCTTGGGCAGCTGGACCAATCTACAGGGCCACGACAGCCCAACACAAAGCTAGTAGGGATGCCTGTGCATGTGAGAGAATGTGGATCGTTGGCGCAGGGTTGCCACACCGAAACCAAGCGGCTCTAGCATCAATGAGTGATCGGCTGGGTAAATAGAGTTTACTTTGCTAGGTATTGGTATTCTCCTCGTGCAACTACTTGGTTTACTCATTGACCGCTGCTGGACAGAAAACGTGTTGTCTTGCCTCACGTTTGAATCCAAGATCGCTCTATATGCCCTTGCCATGAAACAGAAAAGTGACTGAACGAAACGACACACTCGGTGTTTGAGGTATCCCCAAGAACGGCACGACAGGATGATCCGTCTGTGGGCTAGAACACACCGACAGAGAATGCCTGTCTTCCGACATGGAAGGTCAACTTTTGTTCTTCGACAGCTGGCGAAGAGTTCTACAACCACAAAATCACAAGCCTCGTCATCCGACGTGACAGAGCAGGCTTCAAAGGTGCGCCTTCGAAAAGATACGTCGCTCAACGACGTCAAGCCATTCTCCGAATTCCTCACGGATTCATACTCTCGTCGGCACAACTATCTCAGAATATCAATCACGGAGAGATGCAATCTGCGATGTCTTTACTGCATGCCCGAGGAAGGAGTTCAACTTTCTCCTCCCTCCCACAATCTGACAAGCACAGAGATCACGTATCTGTCCAGGTTATTTGTCGAGCAGGGTGTCACCAAGATTCGGCTCACGGGAGGTGAACCCACGGTCAGAAAAGACATTGTCGAGCTCGTCCAGAGCATTGGTGACCTAAGATCCATCGGGCTGAAAGAGATATGCATCACTACGAATGGGATTTCTTTGGCCCGAAAGCTGGACTCTCTGGTCGCAGCCGGACTCTCCAATATAAATCTGAGCCTCGACACTCTGGATCCGTATCAATACACCCTGATGACCAGACGGAATGGGTTTGACGCCGTCATGAAGTCCATCAGCAAGATCCTTGAGCTCAAAAGACGAGGAACGTCAATCAAGTTCAAGATCAACTGTGTGGTTATGAAAGGGCTGAACGATGGCGAGGTCGTCGCGTTTTCTGAACTTGGCCGAAACGAAGACGTCGAGGTTCGATTCATTGAGTACATGCCCTTTGACGGCAACCGATGGTCCAAGGGTAAGATGATTACGTATCGAGAGACCCTCGACCTCATCAGACAAAAATATCCAGACGTTCACAGAATCCGAGATCAACCCAACGACACTAGCAAGACCTACAAGATCCCTGGCTTTGTTGGGAGGATTGGCTTCGTCACTAGCATGACGGAGAATTTCTGCTCAACTTGCAATCGACTACGAATCACCAGCGACGGAAACCTCAAGGTGTGCCTGTTTGGGAAGGATGAGGTATCGTTGAGGGACATCTTGAGGGGTTACAACAATGGTCAACCTCTCGGCCAGGAATCAGAACCCCTGGAGTCGTGGAGTTCCACCGTGCAGGATGCATTGTCGCTCTCCGACGACAATCCGAGAAAACAGCTCCTGCATGTCATTGGCATGGCGGTCAAGCGGAAAGCCCAAAAGCATGCTGACCTCGGTGACCTCGAGAAGATGCAAAATAGACCGATGATCCTAATTGGAGGATAGCAGCAGGTGAGTTTTCTGCAGCTTCAGCTAGTCATAATGAAAGTGGGAAGGTTGCCTTTGGCGACTGCTTGCGATTCGAGTTCGGTGTCGGTTTTTTACTCCCGACTCAGAACAATCGCGGATGAGCCGTTATGATCGTCTCGCGCGAAACTTCGCACGAGGGGTGGGTCAAGTTTGTAAGCTGAAGTGTAGTAAGCAAAGAAAAATGGGGTACTACAGATCCGGCCGACGTGCCTGGATCCCGCAGATCAGTCGAGTTACCTTTCCGCTAGGGAGCCTCGGAAAGCCATGGCCGATATAACCCCTGTGTCGTTCGTACCACCTACAGCGACGAGTTACCGTCAATTGATAGCCAAAGCGTCCTGATCGAAGCGAAAGCTCCAGCTAGGTTAATCATATTTCCAATTCAGGTGCGTAAATACTGTCACGACAACCTTTCGCAAGAGGCCGCCGGTCTGGTAATCTTACAGATACACACATGCAGTTTGCGGTCACCGACTAGTGCAACGAGCGGGCAGTCAGCTCGTGGCCTATGGTTGTGGCAGGGATGGCACGGTATGACCACTTCCTCTCGCTCTGGTCATGTCCCATCCCTAGGCTGTACCTCGACACCCCCTCACTTTCTCTCACGCTTCAGGCTTTCCAAAGCTTCCCTCTGCGACGCCATTCGTCGTAGGATGCTGCAGTCTCTTCTTGTTAACCAACCGAAACCCCCCAACTACCATAACCAGAAGCTCGGCGCCGAGGATGACTCCAAGAGTGACCATTGCGCCAATCACACCGCACACTGCCTTTGAGATGCCGTTGCCATTGCCGTTGTCATTGCGGGTTGATTCTCCACTGGATGTAGAGTCGTCGCCATCGGCGTCCAAGGCAGCGGCGGAACAAACCCCAGTGCTGTTTCCGCAAGCTTGACACCATGCCGCCTGTCCAGAGATGGCAAATTTGTTCATGCCATCGACAAACTCATTCCAAGGGAGAGGGGATCTGTTGCTCCCGAACAGAGGATATTCCACTGGCTCCGAAGTGTTCGACGTGGTGCCGTTGTGAAACCAAAACCGCACAGATATATCTTCAACCGACGGCCAGCTGCTTGAAGTGACGGTGGCATTTGTGACGAGCTCCCAGGTCAAACTGCTGGCATAATCGGGAACACCAAAGAAATCTGGGTTGACGGAGGTCAAATTGCTGAGGCCGAAGAATGAGAGCATACCAGCATAAGCTCCAAACTGTATGTTGACTTTGGTTTTTCCATGTCCCGCGATTGTCGAATTCAACGCAGAGACCACTTCGGCCGCCAGGATGGAACCAGTCACTGCCCGAATGGGCTCGGATGCGTTGTAAGCCAACCCGAATTCGTGCTGATCAGCGAGGGTCTTGAGCTGAAAGAAGTCGGCGTCGTCTGGCAGTGGTACAGAAGCATTGTGGATAGATGCGACATTCAGAAGATCCCAGACCACGTAGGCGTTCTTGAAGCTGGTCTGCTCCTCGGTGAATGTCCTCGCAACGTCAGGGTATATCTTCTGATACAGTGACTGAGTTCGATTGAAAGTTTCGAGAAATTCGGCCGAGGTGAAATAGTTGTTGGAGCTGATCATGGCGTTGGCACAGTTCGTACTTCCTTGCAACCAAGCAGAGTCTTCACTGTTGGATCCAGTTTGGACGGATTGAAGAGGGATCAGCTGGTAGCCATTGAGTGGTGATTGGACACGGGTTCCATTTCGGAGGACATTTGACCCGAGTTCTTCGCCCACGGGAGGATACAGACCTTGGAGGAAACCTAGCGCTGAATTCTGGAGAACCGTGTCTGATGGAGCAGAAGCCATGATCTGTGACTGTTTGACCAGGTCGCTGTTAACACCAAAGATTCGTCTGTCTGCACCGGTGGCCACGTAGCGATTGCGGAAGTATGTGCCCGACGTGAAAATCTCCTGGTACCCGAGATCGGTCAGGTTCGCTGGAGGAGTTGACTTGGCCGTGCGATCCCCATGGCGAGAGAAGATGTACACTCCTAGAACGGTCTCCTGGGAAGTGGCCAGCTGTGCCAGTGCTAGAGAGGTCAACAAATGTAAGAAGTACATGATTTACGGTGATGAAGTCGAGTCGGGCGAGACAGGAACCAGGAACCAGAGGTACAGTGTGCTGTGGAGCGCACGGAAGTTCAAGAGGAGACGAGGAGACCTCTACAATTGTGTCCTATATATCTTTGTCGAAACGCCAAGTATGGTCGTGGTTCAGAGAGACAATCTTCTTCTCGAGGTACTCGCTGGCTGTGACCCGCTGGTATCCTGCAGCCACAGTCGAGGCCTCTGACACTGCGTAACCACCTGTGAGTAATGACCAAAGTCTCTCATCCTTTTGTGGAATCAGCGTAGATCCCATCCTGGCCGTAATATCAATATCAATAGTACACATGTATATGCTTTGGCAGAACGTGCGTGGCTCCATCCCCGGACCAATGCAAGCCCTGGTGCTGGCCCGTCTGTGCTTGATGTATGTATGGCTTCGTATTCATGTGGTACCACCACCTAGTGCCTTCGCAACCGCTGAGCTAAGAATGCATTGCATTGTTAGCTCTGGTTTCAGCTGACATTGTGTCGACTCAGAGTTTCCGCACCGGCCACCATGAATGCTATCAGGGTTCGAGCTTGCGCGACCTCGCACGAGAGTTGACGTCGCACTTGGACTGATCCTCCCACCGTCGAGCCGTATATCCTCTCACCTGTCACTGTCTTTCCCTCTGGAGAACTTCATTGTACACCATACAAACCTCTCTCTCAACATGGCTCCGGCTCATCCCAAGAGCACCTTCATCCGTCCTCTTCCTGGAGAGGCTCTGCCAATCCACAATCGTCCCGACGAATGGAAAATTGAGCAGGGCCTCTCCGGGGGCAAATTGCCCATCTTAGATCAATCAGGCCCTGAGACTCGTATTATCCCACCTCAAAAATGGCCTGACATTATCAAAGACGAGGAAGCTATCAAAGCCGTGGGCGATCCCAATAAGCTATTCACGCGTGAACTCGAAGGATGGAAAGGGTGAGTCCACAATGACTACATTGTCACAGCTTCCACCGGTTGACTTCCCTTCACCTAGATACGTGGAATGGGAAGAGTTCCCGGAGAAGAAAGAAAAGGCTCGCAGGATTCTTGCTGCACAGAACTTTCCTCCAAACCCTGAATTCCAGATGGGACCAATACCGGATTCCAATCCGGTCCTTCCAGGCACCCACTGGAAAATGTGGCATCACGCCGTCGGTGGTGAGCTCATGGACGTACCGGAGGACTCATGGGCGACGGTTCTTCGTGAGAAGCACCCGGAAATGCTTCACCTCCTTCAATTTCCCTACAATGGAGAACCTCCAAAAAGACTAGTTACCGACAAGGCCGTGACTCCCAACTCTCTTCACTTCGTCAGAAACCATGGAGGCATTCCCCTGATCGACAAAGACAAGTTCTTCTTCACCTTGGACGGTCTCGTGGCCAATCCAAGATCGTTCACTCTCGACGACATCATGGACGAGTCCAAGTTCCCGAGAATCAAGAAATTGGTCACCATGCAATGTTCAGGCACTCGTCGCATCGAACAGATTTCTCTCTATGCCGGGCAAGGTGACGAAGTCCCCCAGGCTCCGTGGGCCGAAGGGGCTATCGGGACGGCCGAATATGTCGGCATCAGCCTCAAGAAGGTGATCAAGGCTTGCGGGGGACTCCTTGAAGGTGCCAAGCACATCGAGTTCTATGGCGCCGAGACCTACTTCAAGGACAATGATGTGATGAATTACGTGGTCAGCGTCCCCTGGTCCAAGGTCAAAGCAAACGAGGTCCTTCTTTGCTGGGAGATGAACGGCGAGCCACTTCCTGCGATCCACGGCTTTCCTCTGAGAGTCATGGTCCTCGGATACATTGGAGCCCGAAGTGTCAAGTGGTTGTATCGCATCAAAGCCATCGAAAATCCTTCTTTGGCTCCGGTACAAAGCAAGGAGTACCTGTACTTCAACCAACAGGTCGGCAAGTACAACCAAAAGCCGACTGATGGCATTCAAATTCAAGAGATGCCGGTCAGTTCGGCCATCATGTCTCCATGGACAAAGCAAGTGGTCATCCACAACGGCAAGATTCACTGCAAGGGTTGGGCATATTCCGGAGGAGGTCGTTGGCCGGAACGTATCGAGCTATCAGCCGATGGAGGCTTCAGCTGGTATGCTGTACCGAATACAAACCTGTCTGAAAAGCACAAATGGACGTGGCGAACTTGGCAATTCGATCTACCTTGCGACGTGGAGGGATGGGTGGAAATAGTCTGCCGATGCTGGGACAACTCCCTCAACACCCAACCTCTGACCGTCCGGGCCGCTTGGAACTGGGGTCTTCACGTCACCAGCTCGGCTCATCGTATCAGCGTCTACAGCGTCAACAAGAGCCACGCTCGGACCAGAGAGAAGTTGCAGCAGTTTGTCGACATGAACTCTCCCATTGCCCCGTTGACGTGGCCGGAGGAATTTCCAACCCAGAGCTGGGAAGAGTACAAGCAGTTCTGGAAGGAGAACGACCCGAGAGATGTGGATGATTGAGCTTACAGTGGTGGGATTCACGCCCATAGCTTCACCCTGGTTTGCAGAGCACCGTGATAATCAATTTGCTTCTATGAATTACTGTACGGCGATTTTGATTACCCGCGCGTGATGATTTGTCGCACGCCAGCCCCTCCTAATGCCACCCCGGTGTTAAGATCAGCCTGTACGAAGTTTGGAGCGAGACGGGTTTTACTCCACACTCTAGTGTTTTACGAAGAGTCCAGGATGTATTTTGAAGCACGAGCTTCCGCCATGCCGCGACCAACGGCAGCTTCTACAAAAACTACTCTATTCGCGACGTGGCTGACAGGATACGAGGGTTTGACTCAGTACCGGAGTGCTCAAAACTATGTCTAAGCATGCAGCTTGCAGGACGAACCTTGCCTTGCGGATCTGCCCTTGATTGAGGTTGACAACTCGGGACCATACTCGTACGGGCAGCCGCATTGCTGCATGCACGCCGTCTAAGCTAGCCTCGCGTGAGAGGTCGTACGATGGCTCGCACGAGGCCTCTTCAGGGATCTCGTCGTGCGCCATCACGAAACTCGCCAAAGAGCAATACCGTGCGATTGGTCTGAGTTCTGGACGGCCCGATTGCACCACGCTAAGTACAAGTACACTGGGTGATTGTTGAGCCAATGTGTACTCGTGCGATGGTAATACATTTCACATTGCCAAATGAACTGTAGTGTGGTCAGTTCCAGCTACTCGTCCTCATGCTCGCGGACGTCATATGCCAGCATGTGTCGGGAGGCATTCTCTTCTCGACTGGGCTCTCAGTCCCGTATAGATATAGCTTCCACTTCCAAATCTAGAGCCATTTGGCCATCCAGCCACAGGTAACGACAATGGCTTCCTCACAGCCCTACTACACTCTCGCAGAAGGTGTCCCTCTGCCGCGTAACGGCACTGTTCAACAGTTGTCGACAGGGTCAGGGGGTGGCCATGTCCTCCTCACCAGCACACAACTCATCGAGAACTTGGCTCATTTCTCTCGAGAACGAATCCCGGAACGTACAGTCCACGCAAAGGCTTCGGCTGCCCGAGGCTATTACGAGGTAACGGATGATGTCTCAGACATAACTGACGCCGATTTCCTCACCGGGATCGGCAAGAAGTGTGAGGTCTTGATGAGAATCTCCACGGTCGGTCCTGAGCGTGGGTCTGCGGACACCGTTCGAGACTTCCGTGGGTTTGCCGTCAAGTTCAAAACCAACGAGGGCAACCAGGACTTTGTGTTTAACAACCAGGTAAGGGGCCACACTTGGTCGGATAGAGAGGATCATGTGCTAAAGACTTCAAGCCCGTGTTCTTCATCCGCGACCCTGTCAAATTTCCCTCGGTGAATCGAAGCCACAAGAGGCACCCAACTACGAATGCGTCAAACGCCGATATGTTTTGGGACTTTCATGTCAACAACCAGGAGAGTATCCATGCCCTGATGTTCTTATTTGGCGATAGAGGACTCCCGTCATCCGTGCGTCATGTCAACGGCTACAGCGGCAACACCTACATGTTCACAAAAGACGACGGTGCCTCATACGTGTATGTACGGGTTACATTGAAGACCAATCAAGGAATCCACTACTACACCAACGCCGAGGGGGCCAAAATAGCCGGTACAGAACCAGACAAGCATATCCTAGACCTCCAGGATGCCATCAAAGCCGGAGACTTTCCGTCCTGGGACGTGTACGTCCAAGTGATCCGCCCCGAAGATGTCGAGAAGGCTCCTGTCAACATCTTCGACATGACCAAGGTGTGGCCCAAGAAGCTCTACCCGTTGCGAAAGATGGGTCGCGTCACTCTTGACACCAATCCCAAGAATTGGTTCGCCGAAGTCGAACAGGCTGCCTTCTCTCCAAGCAACATGGTTCCAGGGATTGGCCCTAGCCCTGACCCGATGCTGCAGGCCAGAATGTTTGCCTATCCAGATGCAGCACGGTATCGACTAGGTGTCAACTATCAGTTTCTCCCGACCAACGCCGCAATCAGCAAAGTCTACTGCCCGATTGAGCGCGATGGCTTGATGAATTTCACCCTGAACTACGGCGGAGATCCAAACTATATCGGCACACAGCTCAAGCCCAACAGGTTTACTGTACGAACCAGCTCGCAACCCAAGAGCGAAGTCGAGGCGTTATCAACACGGCCCAAGACGAAGACAGCGGACCAAGTTCAAGTCGCGTTGCCTGTTTCGGCATTCACGGAAGTCACAGAGAAAGATTTCGAACAGCCAATTGCCCTGTGGAAGATCATGGGCACACAAGACGGCGCTCAAGATCGCTTCATCAACAACTTGGCGGGACATGTGAGTGGCGTTGAGGCCAAGTGGATCAGGCAGGCGGTCTACGGTAAGAATGTTCCCTCAGTTTCTCGTACCACACACGAGGAAGCATACATGTGCTAATGCTGTGAATTTCTAGAGATGTTCTCGAAGGTCGATAAGGAGCTGGGCAAGAAGGTTGAAGAAGTGACAGAAGCGAAAATTGCCGGGGATCATGCGCATATCCATAAGACTGCATGGCACTAGAGGGGAATCTAGGATTGCAATAATAGCCTTGCCGCACAGATGGATCCTGTAGTTGTAGTTTGTATCTGTTCAGCTGTATACATGAAGAATCCTAGTCATGACCTGTACAATAAATACATCTCATGGACACCACCGCATGAGGAATACCACCTAACAAGCTCCGCACAACATACTTATCGTTCGCTACAGGCGCAGCAGTAAGGCCCCTGCGAAGGCTGAGCTTTTTTGGGGGGCAGTGTAGCCATGGTCCTCCATCCTGGTTGTTCAAATTGGTTGAGCTCAGTCACCGACGCCAGATGTCAGTTCCCCTGGAGGGATCACCTTTCTGCTGTTTTGAGATCACCCTCTGTCCCTCTGTCTACATAGAAATCCTTTCGAGGGATGTGTTCCACGTTCATCAAAGGTTTCCAAAATTGAACTAACATTCCGAACGCTTCTTCCGGTCATGTAGCATCGAACCTGTGCGGGCTATGGTCTCCCAAGTTCACTGGGCTAACCACCCTGGAGGACCTCGAAGCCTGCCGTTTCAGTTGTCAATGTGGATCGGAACACATCTGACGGTGAAAGGTTTGGTGTAGGGGGTGGTGAGCCACTATAAATGCCTGGATCATCCAGGGATGTATGAAATCTAAGCACTCGTACCGCGTATGATCGACACACATGATACTTCGAGTCTTGGACTGGCACTGAAGCCATATTGGATGTGGACTTCAACCCATATGCTGGAAGTCCAGGTGTCAAGGCATCAGATTGAGGTGATTCTGATCTTATCCTGGGATCGCATGCAGAGTCGCGTTGCATTAGCAGCATCATGATGATCCTGTAGAGCACCTCAATTTTATTATCAGTCTCTTGGCAAGTGGATTTCTGCAAGAAGACGAGAGCCCACCTACCAAGTACTATCACTGTAGAAACAGATCAAGGTATGTGGTACCATCCTTGCCCCATACGAGATGAAATCTGACCTACTCTCTCAGCCAATGACGCGGCAGTGCAAGAAGCCTGGACTTGAAGAAAGATACTTTTGTTATTGATTCAGTCGACAGTGGTCAGGCTGGAAATGAATTCACGCAAATCAATCGGCAGCTCAACTAACTAACCACCCCTGTCGGATCCCCGTGGCAGCCCATTCGACCCAACAAAACACAATGGACAACGTCCTTGGGGATCCAGCTCATGGCTCATTGACCACCTTGCGATGCGAAATCATGATCAAAGACACGGAGGGTAACAGGAAAGTATCAGGGAGACCATGTATCAATCTGGTTGTACTCTTCGAGTAGCACATTCACAGAGAAGGACCATCGAACTTGGTGTATCCCACACCATTGACAAAGGTCTGCAGCCACGGACCCTGCGACTTGTCCTCCGCAAGTTCCCAGTAATGTTTTGCGTGTGCCTCTCCGCTCACTTTGTAGATTGGTGACCCGTCCGCCTTCCTTTCGTCGCCATAGTAGAACCTAAGATGCGTTAGTTCGATCAAGAGGAATTTCGAGTAGGTTAGAGTCAGATATTGCTCACTTGTATCCGCGGTCTTTGTACGCAGCTGAAGCAGCCCAGATCATATGTGCCCCAGCTGATTTCCCCATACCTTGGTCGATGAATGCTGGGAGAATATTGACATTGAGGATGTTTCCAGTGTAGATGAATGTCTTTGAAGCAGAAGCAGGAAGTTGAGCAAACCCGGAGACAGCCTGTTGCGCGGCCACAAAGGCACTCACGACATTGATGTGGAGGTCTCGATCGAGGTCGGCCAGCTGGAGGGCAAACGGTTCTTTGGCAGGGGTGAAGGTTGAAGCGCTGACTGTCACATATCAGAAGGAATCAGGGGAGTGTTCAGTATTCAGACTCTACCATTGTAAACGACCACACTTGGAATCCCAAAAGTCGAAGTGACCTTTTTGAATGCCTTCACAACGTCGTCCGGCCTGGAGAAGTCGCTTGTGATGTTGAGTTGACGGTCCGTGCTCTCTGCCTCATTCGTAGACCGAGCGGCGAGGGCGACCTTGTAGCCTTTCAAGGCGAAGGTCCTAGCGACTGCCTGGCCGATGTTGGGTCCTGCTCCGAGGATCAGGATGACTGGAGATACGGCGGCCATTGCGTTGTCTATAGGACGAGACCAGTAAGTGTGAGTGTGTGTCAATGATGGATGCTTTTGCTGCTGATATTGATTTAGATATATGGAGGGTGGATTGTCTGATTCCCTGGTGCAAAGACAGATTCTTATATCCAGTGTACAAACACCCTTGTCAGTAGCATTTTTAATTCGACTTCATGGTACGCAGTCGGTTAGCGCCAGCCCGTACCAATCGAGACCAGCCATGAGACTGGAATACCTGAGCCTGGGTTCATTCGTATCCGCTAAAGGCCTCAATCCATCGCAAAGTGAGCCTCAACCGCACCACCACGGACCAAAAGGACGTCCCCACAAAGAGAGATCAACCTAGTCAGGGCGTCCAATATCCAAGCAGGATCATCTGCTTACAAAGTAGGTTTCATCCTGGTGTAATGCTCTCGTCGTGGCTCCGGAGAAAGCTGCCTCGCTTTACATAATTCTGCAGGATGCTGGAAGCCTGAATTACTAAGGCTACGCTATGTCGCAAATACTTTCCATTGATTATGCGGAGGTCTGTCCAGCCAGCTATGTATATCAGGGCCAGGACAGCATTGGATTCTGTTGATGTATAAACTACTACAAGCACACAACCAAAGGAGAACAAGCGAAGTCCCTTCTTCAAGATTCCCTCCACTTCAGTCATCGCAGCATCATACATAGCACCGCACAGTGAAAATGGTGTCCTGGGCAATCACGGGCGCCACACGCGGTATAGGCGTAAGCTCCAATCTTCACCATGAGCACCACAACCACTACAGTTTCAAATGCTAACCATGACACCCTTTGCAGTTCGGCTTCGTCAGTCACCTTGTGAGTCTACAGGTGTCATCAAGCTTAGACTCAAACACGATACTGACTCAGCCGCCACTAGTCTGCGAATTCGAACGACAAAGTGTTTGCTCTCATTCGAAGTCGAGCGACTGCTGGTCCGCTTGAGGAGCTTGCAGCAAAGCGCAAGAACATTCATGTTATAGTGACCGATATTGCCGACCCGAAGAAATTGGCTCAGGCCGCCGCAGAAATCACCCAGGTCACGGCTGGGTCACTCGATGTGCTGATCCTGAACGCAAGTTCCGCTGGGCCAGAGACAAGCGCTCTGTCGCCTACTGCCTTGTAAGTGGGCGACCTCGGGCGACTAGCTTATGCGTTCAAGGGCTGACGTTGTTGACACGGTGCAGTATTGGCAAGGAGGAAGCGCTGGAGAACGAGATCAATGAAAACGTATGACCCCTCCAGCTACCTCTCGGGCCGTCATACATGGCTGACCGTGACCGCACACAGATCAAGACAAACGTGATCAGCAACATCTACGTCGTCAACGCCTTCCTCGATCTCATTCGTAACGGCAAAGAGAAGAAGATCGCATTCATCACCAGTCCAAGTGGGGATGTCGAGTTCACCCGCATCACCGGCCTTCCTACCTTGCTCGGTTACTCTGTCAGCAAGGCTGGCGTCAACATGGTCGCCACCAAGTACGCCGTGGAGTTAGCCCCTGAAGGAATCAAGACGGTGTCTCTCAGCCCAGGGTGGGTAGACACGGATTCCGGTGAGCGTCATTGTTGTCCCAGTGTGTCGGATCCGTTGACTAAATCAAAATAGCTCGTGCGGTCACCGGCGACACCGAGGTTCGCAAATTCATCCTGACTGCGTTTCACAAGATCGACGAGAGTGTCGAGGCGCCGATTTCGGTCGAGGAATCAGTCAGACTTCAGCTGCAGGTGATCGAGAGCTTGACGGAAGCGGACAGCGGGAAATCCCTGACGCATCGCGGAAATAGTGATGGCTGGTTCTAGGATTTCGGGGTCCACCGAGGGAGACTGTGGGGGAGAAGTGACGCAGGTTGAGTTCAGGCAAACGGGGGTATAAACGGAAGTCCACCAACGACGGCGTTGAAAATCGTCAGGTAGTCGACGTGGTTCTCGGTGTTCAGATCATGCTGGTTCCACACAGCCTCGACCGTATGTTGAATGAAATGGACGTGGCTTGATCTTCGTCTTCGATCTTGTCGGCTGCGTTCAAAAACGTCCATGATGGCAAGGCGCTGATCATCGCCTACAGCTTCGCACGCGACGATGAACAATGGCCAGGCATTCTGGCATGTCTGCATCTTTGTCAGCAGCAAAATTCCCTCTCTTACAAGCCGCCTGTGGCGAAACTCTGTTCCTGAAACACAGTGGACCACCCTGTTGACATATATCAAACAGGCGATTCGATGAAGATCGGAAATCATAGAGTTCCGGTCTGGTGATGACGCGGACTCTACGTGGACAGGGCCGTAGTCTCCCACGATCATGGAGATGTTGTGCTCCAGTACATTGGTATCCTCAATTTCACCGTTTACATCTTCGATCTCCGAGGTCTTCGTCACTATAGCTTGCCTACACGTATGTACAAGCAGCTGGAGCACGTCGATGGGACAGCCGATGTTGTCCTCTGCCTACCTGAGAGTCAGTCGAGTGCAAAAGGGTCCAAATTCTCCTCATCTACCTTGGAGCTGCTCTTCTCAACGATGCTGAGCGATCTCGCCATGGGTGCCCAGCCGCAGCCTTCGTAAGGTACCTTCCAATGTCTGACGGTGAACTCTGCGAGGACCTCGTGGTAATAGATCCAGTCCAGAAAGACCGAATACTCATGACGGAGCAGCTTGTGAATGGCCGGAGACGTGTTGATGATCTTTTTCACGGTACACAGATAATTCACCCAACGCCCCTTGGAGTTGGACTCTAGTGAGAGCTGGGATCGTTAGATGGCTCTGGCCCACCCGAGAGAAAGGGCCACCCTACCTCGTAGTGATACAAGAGCATCGTTGCCATTAGGTTTCGAAGCAGGGTCTTTTCGTCGAACCAGTTCGATGACCCTTTGACTGATGATATGACTAGGTGTTTGTAACGAAAGCTTTGCAGGCTACCGTGCATCTGTAACGACGCTAGAGCAAGCACGCCTTGCAGGACTGGATTGGTCGCATCGGATGCATCCGAGAAGGCAACTCTCAGGATAAACTGGGCCAGAGCCTCCTCGTCAGTTGGTCCCAATATCAACGACCTTGATTCATTGACTGGGATGTCGTGGTCAGTGAAACAACTAGGCCAAAGAGGCACCGTGCGTACAAAACCCAAGGAGATAAGACTCTTTTTGACCCAAACCTATAGGCGAGAGATATGTCGGGCAAGGCACCCTCATCGTACGAAGGTAACGAGCTACAGATACCAATCGTCAGCGTCAGCACGTGTGATTCTCTCTGGGTGGTGAGTTGCACCTGGAAGCCTTCCGTTGTCTAGCTCTCCCGATAGCGCAATGTCCCAAGGAGATGTGTTTAAGAACCTCTTGATACACGGCTGATTGATGGTCACTACACGATGTGTGTCCGACGAGAGTATCGCTCTCTTCCTGTCGCCATCTCGAGGCCAGGACAGCTGGATACCATAGCCTTTACAAATGCGCCGTGCCTTTGTGCAATTGCCACATGTCGGCCAACGCGAGTCGCATCGAACTTTGCGCTCTGAGCAGAATTAGCTCGGGGATGTCTGTACGGCAGCACTTTCACTGCTGGTGTCTCTCACCTCTGCAAGTCCAACACCCTTTTATCCCCATGGTGGCTACTTGGCCAGGAGTATCTCAGCCCAAGTTCATGACACGCTGTGTTTCTTCTCTGGTACAACACATGAATGCAAGCAGGTGGTGAGATTCTCGAAGTTGCCACACATCCTCAGTGCGCAATGACCGCTTGTCGTGGTTCACAGGGGCCAGAAATTGGTCAGCAACCCCAAACCGAGGCAACTCTACAACTCGGAGAAAGTTGCATATGATGATTAAGCGGGCAAGATGAACGTGGTGTAGCACGGACAGTTGAATATCGAACCCTGGAGCGGGATGTTCCCAAATCTGCCAATCTCGGGACTGAAAATCTTTCACGTGTCTCTCTGTTCAATGAGTTCAAGCGAGCAAAGGGTCCTAGCAGGTGTTGCGACCAGGTGTAAATATTTGGCCGACGTACTCCGTACTACAGATTCCTTAGGAGAACAGGAGTTGACCCAGCATACCGCTACGGCGCGGCTTAGAGCCCTAAGAGACCACTACGGGGGATCAGTTGCCTCATTCCCTCTCGCCTAGAGAGCACGTGAATAACTGCACCTCAAGCGCCTGTACTCCCCCAAAGCGTTTGTTGTCACCAGAGCCCCGGCGCAGAAAACGAAGTGCTTCTGAAGACGCCCCATCACCATTGCCATGAGCGTGGTGATTCGAACTCGAGATGCTGATGAAGCGTTTCTAGGCTGTTGAAGAGCGTGTCATGGACTGCACGTATCCGTCCTTCTCTCCGTTGTGCCTGGATACCACAGCAGTGGAATCGCGCTGCCATCGACGATAGACGAATCCTATCAAGCACTCATACCCACCGTCCTACCGCACACCAGTCTGTGATCACGGCAAGTTCTCGTGCAGTCGGTTCCCGTAAAATTCTCTGGAAGAGGATGATCGAAGGTGCAGAAGTTCAAAAGACGGCGAGCCAGACCTCTGATCAAGGGGACAGCAGCGGACGTTTGAAGTGAAGACTAAGCATCGGTTGGGGACGGTTCTACAACAAGTACAAAACCATTGATGAAGACCTGCTCCCATAAGCTGCTTGAAAGTCAATATGCTTCAGCTCACAGGATGTACATGAATGTGTGCGGATGTGTTGAAGGCTTCGTTCAGCGTATTCTTGCAAGAGATGAACCATGGTCAGGGAGAAGGGCGCAAACAACGGCTGTATGCGTTATCATCTACTCCATAATTATGTTCACGTATTCAGGTCGCAATCCTGCTGCATTACGTGCAATCCCGTGTACTGCTGCATACTCACTGTGTGGATTCGTTTCCCTCTCGTCGTCGCACTATGCCGCTCGACTTGGATCGCTGCTATCTGTGGCTCCTGATCCGAGCCACGTTCTCCTCGCCAGCAAGACCAACCTCGGGTATGTAACTCATATCTCGAAACTGTCCCATCACCGGAACTCGGCACAGCTTTTCAATTGCCGGAATGACCATTGACCCGATGTGTTGTCTAGCGAGCCTCTGCCTATGGATTAACCGCTCTGGTGAGCACGACTTCAGAATCCTCAATGGCGTGAGATGCTCTTATCTGCTGATATGTTGGTCTCTTATGCTAGAGTTATGAACCCCTCGCATCGAAACAATCGATGTCGATGAATAAGCAGGACAGAAGCAAAGGGATTGCGCCATCTTGGCTGGGATGAGACCATTGTACATACGCGGGGATATACTCTTATATTTGAAGACGGGGCGTGGGGATCACTGTCCCAGGTGCGATTTGCTCTGTGCAGGGAAGCTTCAATTGATCAAGCCTTCTGCGACGAGCTACTCACGATGTCTGTCACCACCGTCGACCAGCACTCGACCCAGCCTTCCGCGAATGGCGACCAGGGGTTTCTGCGCCTCAAGCCATACGTACATCCTCCTGACACCAAGGCTGAACTGGCATGGGCTGAACTGGTGACACTCGACCTGGAAGAATTCGATAAACCAGGGGGCAAGGAGCGATTGGCCAAGCAACTCGAACACGCCGTCCACCATGTCGGCTTCTTCTATGTCAAGAACTTCGGCCTCAGTCAGGAGAAAATCGATCAGCAGTTTACACTTGCAAAAAACTTCTTCGAACTTCCGGTCGAGGAGAAGGAAAAGTATGAAGCCAACTACGCCGAGGGTGAGAACAACGGCTGGCGGAGGTCGCGCCCTGACAACCACCGACCTCGATCGATTGACAACGTCGAGATCTTCAACTTTCCTAAATTCACCAAGGATTTCGAAGGCAAGTATGCCTATCCGGACCTCCTGAAGCCTTACCTTCCGGAGGTCGAGGTCTTCGCACGTGCTCTACATGGCAACGTGGTGCTCCCTCTTCTCCGCTTGTTTGCCATCATCCTCCAGCTGCCGGACGAAGACTATCTGGTCAAGCAGCATACCTACGAAAAGAAGAGCGAAGATCATTTCCGGTACATGATATATCACCCGAGGACCGTTGAGCAGTGGGCCGCCGTTGATAACGGCCAAGGCGGTGGACATACTGATCTTGGTACTGTCACCCTCCTATTCCGACAACCCGTTGCTGGCCTGCAGATCTTGGGAGATGACGGCAACTGGACTTGGGTCTCGGCCCAGCCAGGAACCATCACCGTGAATATCGCCGACACGCTGTCGCACCTCAGTGGAGGATGGCTCAAGAGTTCCGTTCATCGGGTTGTCGCGCCACCAGAAGACCAGCTCACGTTCAACCGTACCGGATTACTGTATTTTGCTCGTCCACACAACGATACGATCCTAGAGCCCATTCCGGACTCGCCAGTTCTGCAGGCTGCTGGAGTCAAATCCAGGTTCAACAGAAAGGTCACCATGGAAGAGTGGGTCAAGGCAAAGTCCTTGGTGCAGCTCAATCCGAAGGACGCAGAGAAACGGTACACCGAGAACGGGAAGATAGAAGTCCTGGCGGGATTCCAAGACCAGAAATATAAGAAATAGTTACGTAGTGTGGCTAGAAAAGTCTCTGCAACAACCGGTGTCAACAACCATCTGGGTCCAACAGGGTTGTGCGTAGCTATACGTCTCCCTTTCTATTTGGCCTGTGACAAGTCGCTCCGGGATACTCTCCACACGGAGGGCTTTGCTTACTCGTACTCGTACTCGATAGATAACATCAGCAAAAGCGAAGAGTGAGTAAAGTGCGGATAAATATAGTGCGCCTATAACAGTACGCGCTAGCACCAGAAAGCCTCCAGCTATCTCCGCCATGATTGGGGTGAATACGCTGATTCCGATGCTCTCGCGGTTATTACTCCAGGGAGTCATAGAGACCTCCATATGACTCGTGAGGGATATTATCACTAAATTTTGTCAAGAACTGTGTGGTGCGAGAAACCAATGGGAGCCACCAGGGTAGTCCCAGTCGTTCATGAACGTTGTTTCGGTCAGGAGATTGTTCCAGCCTCGTAAGCCTCACTAGCCTGGACGATTGACAAGCTCATCAAGCACAGAGACATGCCAATCGATACCTACGACTGTCGAAACGTGGGGTCGGCACCTACTGTACGTACAGAAGAATTGTGGAGCAGGTACTTGGACGCGTCACTCCCGTCACTTAGATTTATAAATAATTTTCACGCAAAGTGCCATCCAATGTACAAGACCAAGCGAGATGGTTAGGCTGAAACCCAACGTAGAACTACGCCACGGTGAGTCATTCGAAAATGCTCAGAAACCTTCTTCATTTGTGGTTCCAGGGGCATCGTCCGTCTGAATGTGTGGCGCATTGATGCCAGTTGGCGAACCTGGCTTTTGCTTTGCTTCACACAGCCCCAAACATAACCCCAAGGATAACATGTCTCTGGCAAAGGCCATGATACTGTGATCTGTTTGGATTTTTTACCTTCGCTGTTTCATTTGATTTGGATTTTCTTCACGGTACATAATGCCGGACGGCCCAGTTGTCGTTGTCTTTCGCTATACCTCGCCCATCGTTTCTGTAGTCTGGTTTCTCGGCATCAATTTCTATTTTGCCTGTCAGTCCACGGGCACTGGCAAAGGCTGGCAGCGCAGGCTATGGCGACGGCCATCACTTTGGCTGAGCTGGACCATAGCAGCGGCTTACCTGGTCCAATCACTCCTTGTATTGTCCGCGCATGCCGAGTTCTGCAAAGATGCCCATATCCATACCCTTGCAGAGGCCTTGCTATGGACGACATTGGCTCTTAGTCTCGCCGATAGCCCTTCGCCGGTGTCGAGACCTTATCTCTCAACCTGGATCTTGACTCTTGTCCTGGAAATGACATCTGCTGGCATTTCACTCACCACCTCAAGACTGTACTGGCCAAGTTTTGCCGTCCAGGTATCTGCACTCGTCTTGATGGCCGGTCTCTCCATTCTTGCCCTGGTTCCCCTTCGACAAGACGATGCGGACGATGCGGACGAGAGAAGACCACTGATGTCGCCCTCGCGGTCTTCGGACGTTTCGCAGGAGTACGACAGTCCATCCTACCACAGAAACACCATCTCAGAATGCGGGTCAGATAGTGACGACGACGAAGAGGACAAGGAGGTGAAGCAGCTTCAGCAGGAGAGGCTGAGAACATCCGGAGGCTGGGTTGGGTATCTAAAGGACTTTGCAATCTTCTGGCAGTATATTTGGCCTTCAGGAAATATGCGACTGACGCTGGCTATCCTGGTCCTGTTCGTGAACATCTTCCTGACTAGAGCCTTGAATGTCCTGACCCCAAGACAGCTGGGGTTAATCATCAACAGGCTCACTACCGAGCGACAGATCCCCTGGTCGGACGTTGGCTTATGGGGACTCTTTGGACTTTTGGCGTCGGATTCCACAGGCCTCGGGGCCCTGAACGAGATGATCGAGCGACGAATTTCCATTTGGTCATTCCAAAGGCTCGGCCTCGCTGCCTTTGACCAGGTCATGCGTCTTTCGATGGACTTCCACGACGAAAAGGATTCTGGCGAGATCATCAAGGCTCTTGAGCAGGCAACCTCTTTAAACTCCTTGCTCCAGATCATCATCTTGGAGGTCTTCCCCGGGGTATTGGATGTCTTCATTGCACTTTGGTACGTGGCGTACGTTCTCGACGGATATGCCGTGCTCATGGTTCTTTCCGTTGCTGTCGCCTTCACCTTTATCACATCGTACATCACTGTGTTCGTCAACGCTTCTCGGAGAGATCTCTCCGTTCGGCAGCGTGGCCAGAGCAAGCTCTTGTACGAGACCATCAGCCACTGGTCTGTCGTCTCATATTTCAATCGCAGGGGCTACGAAAAGGCCCGGCTTTCTGGAGTCCTGAAGGGAATCGCCGAAGCTGATCTCCGCAGTAATGACCATTACATCTATCTCTACGGAGCACAGGAGTTTTGTGAACAGGTAGGCAAGATTGCAATTGTTCTCCTCGCGGCTCATCGAGCAGCACAAGGACTTGCGTCAATCGGAACGTTGATCGCGGTGGAGAGCTACTGGGACACCATCACCATGCCTCTGTACGTTATGGGCCACAGCTACCGCCAATTGTCGACAGACCTCATCGATGCAGAGAGGCTTTTGCAGCTCTTCAAGTTAACTCCGACGGTACAAGACATTCAAGGCGCGCGACCGATTGATGTCCATGCGGGCAAGGTGGAGTTTGAGGATGTCGGATTCGGTTACCACAAGGATAGATTGGCGTTGGACCATTTCACATTTCAAGCCTTGCCAGGGCAGAAGATTGCCTTGGTGGGTGAGACGGGAAGCGGCAAGTCGACCATCCTCAAACTACTCATGCGCTTCTACGATGTCGGTTCTGGGAGAATATTGATCGACGGACAGGACGTTCGACACGTCACCCAGGATTCCTTGCGGGAGGTTTTTGGGGTGGTGCCACAAGAAACAGTCCTCTTCAACACGACCGTACTGGACAACGTGCGCTATGCCCGGTTGGACGCTACCGACGAGGAGGTCTTTGAAGCATGCAGAGCGGCCGCCATCCACGACAAAATTCTCACTTTTAGCCATGGATACCACACCAAGGTTGGTGAACGTGGAATCAAGCTGTCGGGTGGTGAGATGCAGCGTCTTTCCATTGCTCGCGTCTTGTTGAAAAGGCCCAGAATTGTCCTTCTGGACGAGGCAACTTCGGCCATCGACACCATCACCGAGTCGAAGATTCAAGTCGCGCTGCACAACCTCACGGACCGAAGAACCACGTTTGTCATTGCTCATCGCCTTTCGACCGTCGTTGACGCCGATGTAGTGCTCGTCATTGACCAAGGTCGCATCATTGAACAAGGAACACACCAACAGCTTCTGCTAAATGGGAATCGATACAAGGAGCTATGGATGAGGCAATCCCAGTCTCAAGTTGACAAGGTGGAAGATCCCACACTTGAAAATGCGGGAACATCCTGATGGAGATTCGTAATTGCGGGATGATAAAGGCATGGCTCGTGAATTTTAACTACGATGGCCAAACTGCTGGATGTCTAGGCGGTGGAAGACTCTCTCAAATTTGTCTTTGCTAGCCTCGCTTGCTTCGCCGACTCCTTCTCCATCTAGAGTTTTTTCACCTAGGCAAGTTAGTGTTTTATCTGGAGGACGGAGGCCGGAGACAATTGCCTAGAATGTCTCTGCCAGGTTCGCGATGCCGCGATGGACACACAGACTCTCCCAGTTCATTATATCCAACACCTTCAATATTTTTTATGCTTGCTATTGCTAATTTGGTGTGGCGATGACTAGGACGTGACGGGAACTTCGATACTGCTTTCAGGGCTTGTCCACAGCCTGTTCGAAATATCAGTGTCTGTGCCACTGTAGAGTTCGACTCCCATACGCAATAATGCCAATGCCGTGTTAGATCCGTTAGCAGCTTCAGTGACAAGTATAACGGGTGTTGTCAACCCAATTTGATAGGGGAAGAGCGATTGAAGAGAGGATGGGCGTACGGGGAGTTCCATGATGGAGGCGCTCGTCTAGCATTCGGGACTGATGCCCCCATGGCTGCTCATCCTCTTCTGCCCAATCTCCATCTCGCGACAACAAGGCGGTCAACTATGGACCCCTCTTCGACGATACGAACGAATCCACGGTTCGCCGTCTCCTTGACCACTGCTGTGAAGGCGGCAACAGCTAATGCTGCCTTTTCTAAATTCGCCGAAACCTGGACTGGGAGCCTGGCTGTAGGAATGTCGGCAGATTTGGCAGGGCTCGACGCGGACTGGGACCCTGATCATTTGCTAAATGCCAAAGTACGGCAAACTCGGTATCGGGGACAAAAGGTTTTCGATGCTGATTGATGGAATGGTCCGAATGCCCAGGGCTAAAATATTGACGGCGGCGAGAGCATCCATCTTGGGAGGATATATTTGTCCGACGTTGCCGGATAAAGGATAAAGGATAAAGAAGCTGGTGATCTCTGCCTCCAGAGGATGGCGGTGCCATAAATCTACATAGACGTGAGGAAGGCTTTTAACTAGGTGACTTAACCGCTCAGCTTGAGTGTCGCATTCCTCAGCCCTATGTCTTACCCCTAATTCTCGCGATATTGAAGGACGGATCCACCCGTGATCCACAGGGCAGTTTTGGCTTTCTGGTTCACAAAATCGCCCTGGCGCTCATGACGACATGGAAAGCATCATACTACATGTACGACCTCGAACAAAGCTTTGTTCTCTTTCATTCCGTAACACTGCGACCTCGGTGGTCGTCTCATGGCTACTTTGCAGACGCTGATATGAAAAGGCTGGCTAAACTGCTGGTGCAAAGTTGGTTCGTTGAGCTTGCTATATCTTCATGGCAACCCCTACAGCCTGGAGGATTCAACCTCGGCCAGAAAGCTTACGGGAATCTCAACCACCTTGTCTCGAATATAATCCGCAAATCCTTTGCCCAACGCATCCAACAACCGACAGCTGCTCACTCCCCTCCCCAGGGGACCGTAAATGACAAAATGAACAGCCAACAAATTCTGAAATTCCATTCTCTCAATATAATAGTCATCCCTCCAGTCGTCACCCATCAGAGTCTGCATCCGCGCACGAGTCAAAAAAGCCTGCAACCAGGGGTAATGGTTGGGTTTTCGAACGAACAATCCAATGTTGATGTTTGCACCTTTGTCGCCGGACCTTGCGAGAACAACGTCTCCTAGTCGTGCTGAGATTGTCGGTCCAAAGGTGGAAACGTCGACGGCCTGCTCCGTTTCATAGTTGGCTCGTGGGGTGAGCGTTGAGTATTGCGATGGGTGTCCCGCTTCGGCGGTGCTGACTATATTTCCTTCCGCATCTAGAATTGCCACGCCTTCGTCCAGCGAGTCTTGAGGGTACAGTGCGGGATAATAGGCCAGATACGAACGTGGAAGCGCAGTTCTCATGTCCAGCGACAGGTGGAAGCCCGAGAAGTGCTGCATGGCAAACTCGGAGAATGTTTGAACCAGGGCGAACAACAAGCCTTCAGAGTCTGCCTGTGCCAACACTCGGGCATATGTGGTGCTGCTGAACTGGGTTCGCGGGTTTGATGCTGGAGTTCCCAGTACCTGAAAGTCGAAAAGCTGCAGCTTGTCCCAGATGCCCTTCTTTTGTAAGAAATACCGGAACTGCATTTCCATCAACTCCCATTTTTTGGCCGTCGCGTATCCGGTGGCATTGAACAATAATTGACTCTCAAACCCACCGTGGTAAAAAATGGCCAATTTTGTCGTCGGGGGCGGTGGGGAACCCCTGACGTTGGAAAGGCGGACTCGATCCTTGCCAACCTCTTCGATCCGTATGTCTTCGACATGAGCGGTAACGTCAGAGTTGAGGTATACACTGCCTTGCAGCTCATACAGAAACTGGCATCTGACATTGTCAACGTTGACCAATCCCTTCGTGTTTTCATGCTTGGTAACGACAGACGTTCCATCCTCAGCAATCTCTGCAATACCAAACGGCAGATCAATAAATGTCTCCAGCGGATACTCGTCAAACCCGGAGAAATTCGAGCCGGTCACATACGCCGAGCATTCAATAAGATGGCCAGCAATGAGGGCTCCAGCCAGCTGGTCGTAGCTGGTGTCGCACCACCGATGCCAGTACCATGCGGCTCCGATCACCGGAGAAGCATCGGCTACGCGCCCGCAGATGATGATGTCCGCACCGAGCTCCAGGGCTTTGACGATAGCTCGAGCACCCAGATAGGCATTTGCAGACACTATCGGTTTGCCTCGAGTGTCGAGCAACGCCGTGGCATTCTCGGCAAGAGAGATTTTGTCGTTTTCCGAGTCGAGATGCTTGGGCAGAGTTCCAGTCTTCTCGAGGCCGCTCTTGACCTCGGCGAGGAGGTCGTCGCCGTACACGTAGGCCACTTTAAGGCTGTAGCCCTTCTGCTTCACTAGATCCTGGCATTTCCGGGCAAGTCCGCTAGGATTCAAGGAACCACCGTTGATGATGACCTTGATCCTCTTCCGGTCTAGGACATCGAGCGTCTGCTGAAGACCGTCCCAGGCCGTTGGCTCCCACCCGTCATGTTTGCCTTGATTCATCTTCTCTGCGTTTTCGGCAAGATTCATTTCAGCCAGGTAATCGCCGGTGATGAAGTCTACATCTCCTTCAGTGGCCTGACGCCGCATTTGATAGCCTGGATCTCCTCTTGCTCCCGAACAGTTCGCGACCCGGACTGGTCGCGAGCCCATTTGAGTCCCTCTGGTGCTTGCGTCGCCCATGGTGAGTGATTCTGTCCGATAAAGGCTTGATGTTTGTCAAATCCAACTGATACGATATCGTTCTCGTCATTCCGTTGATGTAGCAGCTTCGGCTGTCCCAGGACGAGACTACACTTGACCTCGGCCAAAGCAATTTGCTATGGTCGAATAGTTCTTCGCCGCTCGCTGAGAAACTCTGTAGATCCTTACGATTCAGTCTCCATGACTCGTAGACGGCAGCGAAGGCTTACCTTCTCCTCACTTCTGTACCCGCTTTACAGTCCGCCTGTGCCGAGTTTAAGCTCGGCTCTAGGCCGGCTACCCGCTCCGCAGTGCACTGCAGGAGACGAATTCATCTGATGCTTGAGAGGAACGAAGTCAGCATATCAGTAAGAACTTACCGCCGTCGAGTCGAGTGGCAGACCCGAAACGTCTCCCGTATACAGCATTTTGAATTCTTGGATTTCTAAATTCAACCAAAAAACTATCATGGGTAGTATTGATGTACGAGATCGGTCTCCAACTCTCAAGGACCCTGCTTCATATTCCGTTCCCTTGGAAGCTCAGAGGGTATACAAAGAAGGCATCCTCAAGAACCCGTTGATCGCGAAGGACCTACCTCAGGAAGCGGTTGACTTTGGACGGTCGGTACGATTCGTTGGCTCGGACTCTCCCAGTATCCCCATCAGTTGGCGGTTTGCCGAGTCCGCAGCCGCGCTGAAGGCTCTAGAAGCATCACTCATCGCGGCGCTGTTGAAACGCAAATACGAAATCACCGTGTCGCCAGCCACCATCAACACCGATCACGCACAGCTATTCTTTGCCTCCACTCTGTTATGGAAGATCAACCCTGACACCGACGACGAGATCGGCGCGGATCTAGCTGGAGACAGCAAGATACACAGGTACATCAAAGACTATGACTTCCACAAACACGCCTCTTCCTTGCATCGCATCAATGCTACCAACATCTACCGAACCAAGGATGGCAAATATTTCCACTTGCATGGAAGCATGAACCCTGAGCCCACCCTCGACTCGGTCGGGCTTCCGCATGAGCGTGACGCAAAGACTTGGGAGGACGCATGGGAGCCGTTCTTTGAGAAGCTGTCGCAGATCGAAAGTGGTGATATGCAGCGACGCGCTTCAGACGTCTATAAGCAAGCCGGGGTAATTTGTGAATCGCTGGATTCCTTCCGAGCCTCTGAGCACGGTAGAGCAAATGCCCATGTGGGCCTGTTCGAGATTCACCCCGTCAGCAATCCTCGGCAACCTCCCAGCTGGTGGCCTTCCTGCCCACAAACATCATCTCGGAGACCACTTGCCGGACTCAAGGTTGTCGATCTCACCAGGGTCATTGCAGCGCCCGCTGTGACTCGTGGTCTTGCTGAGCTGGGAGCCTCCGTCATGCGAATTACCTCGTCCAAAATCTGCGACTACAGCTCACTCCATGTCGACTTGAACTGGGGAAAATGGAATGCCAGTCTCGACCTCAAGAGCGGAGATGACCGGGAAAAATTGAAAAATTTAATTCTCGATGCCGATGTTGTTGTCCAAGGGTACCGACCAGGCGTCCTAGACAAGTATGGCTTTGGTCAGCAGGGCATCATTGATCTGTGCAGAGATCGCGAGCGCGGTATCATCTCTGCACGGGAGAACTGCTACGGCTGGAACGGGCCCTGGACGTACCGATCGGGCTGGCAACAAATCAGCGATGCTTGCGTCGGCATCTCATGGGGGTTCGGCAAAGCCATGGGCCTCGAGGATGGCGAAGCGGTGACGCCCGTGTTTCCCAATAGCGACTACATGACGGGAATCGCAGGGGTCAGTGGCGTCCTATGTGCCTTGATGCGCCGTGCAGACGTAGGTGGCTCTTACAAGGTCGACCTTGCGCTGAACTACTACAACACGTGGCTTGCGAACAGTGTTGGCCAGTACCCCGAGGCAGTTTGGCAGGATCTTTGGAAGAGAAATGGCCGTCAGGTCTTTCGGTATGATCTTAGTCTTCCCTTGTTGCTGCTGTGGTTGGATATGATCGGATCTTCTAACGCAATGTCAAATTCCAGGTCGCATCATAACATGCTGTACACCATCCCGCGATTCTTGAAAATGATCCACGAAAACAGTTCAGACAAATTACTGAGGCCCGAATTCTTCGAGGACCGCAAGAGCAAAGCCATTGGCGCCACGATAAGGACTGTGAAGCCCATCATTGGCTTTGAAAATGACGAGGTTATGTTTAAATATAACGTCGGAACCAGGGGGAACGAAGTGGACGCGCCGTTCTGGCCAGAGGATCTCACAACCGAGATAGTTCGTTGATTCTAGTGAAGTGATGGTACCCAACGGCAACGAAGGGGCAATCGTTTGTGAGATTACCAGGGGAGGAAGTGAAGTCCTGTGATGTAGAGTCAGCGTCTCGCTAATCATAGTATCAGAAGGCTGGTCTGTACCTTACTGGACTCCCTCTAGTTCTCCTCGGACCCGCTCGGGCGCAAGGTACGTATCCCTGGCGTCTTTGATTGAGGTCATTCCAGTACTAGACTCGGTCGTGGTGTACAAAGGCTATGGACCACTCAAATAGCCACTCAGTTCTGTCCAAATATTCAAAAGTCTTAGACCTTTTTCTTTTTGGCAATGCAATCTGAGTTGGCTCATTTTGAACTTTTTGTGGTCAGTTACTCAGTGTTATGTTCTCCCCCATCATGGTCGTCATTGGCATACCGTGCTGTCAATCAGAGGTAGCCTCGGTTGTGGAAGTACTTTTCTTTGCCCTTTTCTTCTGGGATACCGGCGATGCCTGGTGCATACTCTGCAATCGTTACTTTCGGACCGAACACAGCCATGGCCTTCACTGTCCATGCTGGACTTGCAAATATGGCTCTCTCAAACTGGAGCCCAGTGCTTGGTGTCAAAAATGTCTCCCGCTTGTGAGAATGGTTTACGCTGGCTAGCCGGCATGATTGTGAACTCAGTGCACTAGGTAGCCATGACAACTCCAGTGGATGTGTCTGTCCTAGTCGTTGGGGCAGGCAGGGGTCATTCATCGAACATCATCATCTCTGATCTGCGTGTACGAGCCAGTGATGTCCCGATGACTTATATGGGCTTGGGGATAGTACTAAAGCCGTGACGTGTTCAATGCTGACCGCACGGAGCTCGAACGTCGTCACAGCGAGATGGTTTGCGTTCATGGCGAAGGGGCTTGGTTTCTGAGAGTGCCCTGGGATGGCCCTAGATTCAGTGAGAGTCGTATGTTCCCCGACCACTCGAACAGGCTCCTGAATACATTACGCGTAGCTGAAAGAACGGGATAAATCCTTCATGGTGAATAGAAGCCGTGATGCCGCAATATCGTTCTCATCTGGTCAGTGTCTTTTAGTCCTGTGTCTTTGGAGGGTCGGTCGATGTTGAACAAGGGAAGACTTCGTTCATTCTGTGGTCTTCAAAGATCCAGCCCGAGGGAGTCATGGCGAGCTTCTGCATGATAAATAGCGATAGTCCAAAATGAAAGTCATCTATGAGTGAGAGATAGAAGACATACCGTATTGCAACCTAGCTATCGAACGCGAGTTCGCCAACTTAGTTGCGAGATAGTTTCTTCTAAAATTTAGGCGTGACCGGGGCGATCTCATGACCTCCTGCATGCTAGCAGAACCAGGCGTTAGTCGCATCGACCATTGTCTACCCAGACTTCCCCGTCCGCCGACTAAGGCAAATCAGGGATTGGCGTAAAATTGCTAACTAACTAGTTTTGCCCAAATGATTGAATGAGGGCGCCCGCTGATGTTTATGTCGCGGCTGCCGCTGGCTCATCGGAGCTGCTTGGGACAGACAAGAGAACAAAATAAATCTTCCCTTGCGTATGTGAATCTCTGTGCGTTGCGAAATTGACTCGGGATATCATTCTTGTAGACGGCGTGCCTCCACAAGCTCCCGAGCGGCGTATCGCTTCTATTCCTCACGGCCTCGCCTCCTGGCAGCTCTTTCCAGTTCCTGTTGTCGCTCCTAAAGACACCGATGCTAGTCGCCTTGATGGACCAATCTTCTCGTGGCTTGCCAAAGGTAGGATCTGGTCAGCTGAAATGAGGAGCTAGCTTCTGTCAGGAACAAGGACCAAATGGCTATGTCTTTACTTATTCCAACACATACAAGCTTGGTCAAAGCCACCAATCCACCTGCTCGCCTAATTATGATTGATACGACGATGGGTAGACCAGTACGTCTAGATCTTGATTAGGGGGCTAGAAAATTATCTCAGCCCCCAGTCGTACTGGAGCTTTTTGTGACAAGCCCGAAAGGAGGACCGTCCGGATTCTCTCTGGAGCTCGATTCAACATCAGCATCACTCAGATTGGTGCAGTTATGCAAGTTCACACTGCCCCATGTAGTAGCTAGAAGGTTCCTGGAGAACCTCGAAGAGTCTGCACGTGTGAGGCAGGGGTGCAGGATAAACTTTCTCGCCTACGCCTCCTGAAGTCAAAGTCAAACCACACTCTCAGGTAACCTTCCGGATGAGGCATCGCCGTTTGGGGGTGACAGATGGTGGACTCCGCCTGTGTTTACCGAGTAGCATGATAGTATTGGAGGGGATTCTCCAGGCACAGTATTTCCTTGAACACTCTGAACTTGTAGTCAGGGCTACCCACGATAACCTGGCGATCGCGTGCTGAGGATACAATTTGGTGTTTGCCCGTCCTGTGGATTGACTCTAACTTCACCATGTATGTCTGCAACCAAATCCCCGAGCGAGAACCAGAGAACGACCCTCGCTATCCCACACGACGACTATTCTGGCCGTTTGTGTCAAAGAGTCCCTGAAGGGCGTTCTACTTCTGATCGATCGATTCGGAAATGCAAAAACTACCACTGGGAGATCCACTACGTCGCTGTGTGATGGCTGTCCCTGCCTCCTGCACACTAACTTGAGTAAGTAGTGGCAGAACGAAACGCTAGGTGTGATTGGGCTGGATCCTTTTTCCCTTCCACGGACCCTGCCCTCCGGCCTCTGTCTCGAGTGTGAATGTGAGAGGGGATTAAAGTACAACACCGCAGGATAAGACCGAGAGCTTGCCATCACCTGATGTTGGACAGAAGGTAATGCATACGATGTTTATAAACCTTTACACTTGTGACGTCCCGGGATGTCTCTTGGACTCTCTGGGGACAATCAGGCGAATTTTGACATGACTATCAGCACAAGCCTTTAGCAGCCACCGTTGACCCTTCGTGGCAATTCAGTGGTTTGTTCTACATTCCATCTCGCTTGCTACCGTCCATCGAAGCTGTCAATGGGAGTGAGGACCATCTTCGGCGCGCCTCCCGCCTCGCTGTCCAGGGAGTCTGTTCAACTCGCCCAGGATGGATTTGCCCAGAGAAACCAACTTCCACCAATATCTGTCTGGAAGCTTTGATCATTCGCATCAGCGTGAGAAGCCTGCTGTGGACTGGCACCACCTTGGTTAGACCTTCACTTTCTCGCACTGGACGAGGAGATTCCCCCACCTGTGCAAGCCGAGACATGGTCGTTGCTCCCAGGTGGTAATTACACTCGCATCACAATAATATCTGACAGGCGTTTATGGCTAGATGCTGTCTACAGGTGAGATTCAGGCCTTCTATAAAGATGTGGTGAGTCGCTCAACTGTCGTCTGCTGTCTTCAGTCACTCCTTGTTTTGTTTTCCTGCACCATATCTAACCTCAGTCATTCATTGCGTTATGGTTACTCTCACTCGGGGATTAATCCTTGTGGCAAGCTTCGGCGCTGCTCTTGCAGATGCGTGGCAGCAGACAACCACAACCGCGCTGACGACCGTCACGCCTTGCCCATCCCCTGCCCAATGGAAAACGCCAGCTCCCATCACTGTCACCGCTCAGTACCAGCCGGTGTCCACCTGCTCTGCCCTGGATGAAGTCTGCGTCAAGAACAAATGCTTCACAAAGTACTCGTATTCGACCTGGAACTATGTTTCCACCACCATTCCGTGTCCATTTGCTGCGCCCTCGTCGACCATATCTACCATTACTGCGACCGATCAGAGCGTCTTGGTCTCGCGAACTTCTACTACCATCACCAATACTCAGATCACGTCTACTGTCACCAAGAAATGGAAAAGGCCCTTTACTCACATAGTCACAGTCTCCGCCTACACAACCGTAGTCAAAGAGTGGAGTGCTCCATATAACCAACTGGGCTCTCTTGCTATCCCCGGTTATGGCGGCAGTGGTATCTGTACTGATTGCAAAGGGGACAATGGACAGAAGCGCCAATCTCTCGATGTCATTGAATGTTTCGAGAGTCGAAACAAGCCAACAATCTGCCGCGAGTACAAGGAAGTGTGGATCTACAACCCAAGGGCGATTTTCTCCCACACGGCATCAGCAGTATGCTCTTCACGTACTTCAGTCCCTTCTGCTGGCACCTATGTCTTCGAATTCCCACAAAAGGCACCTCCTACAACCATTGAAATTCCCGTTCAGAAAGTAACGCACACCTGGCATGGGGGCGTTATTGTTAGCACGAATGCTGCCACGACCGCAGTTTTCCCTGGCCGAGACTGGACTGCGACTGTTACTCGACACTGCGCCAGACCGACAGTTATAGAGTTCGACATTATCATTACCAAGGTCATTGTCTATGTTGTTCCTCCCTTTGTCTTTCCCGATGGACCTACAAAGACTGGTAAGCCCCCAGCGACATGGGCAGACTGGACAAAAACATCGTCGCCCACTGTCTCTCAGACATCTACTTCGGGACCATGGTCTACTTCCTGTAAGCTTTGCTATCATCCTGAAGGGTTATTGATGTCCTTTGTCTAACCTTTACGAAGATACTTGGTCGACTAGTTCCAAGGCTTCGACCAGCCTTGGTAGTAATGTCGGTTCCAGCAGCTCTAGTATTGTCGGCACTTCCACAAGTTCAAGGAGCTCCAGCGTCGTCACGTCCACTAGCATCTCCAGCAGTTCTAGTGCGGCAAGCTCAAGCTCATCAAGCTCATCCAGCTCTGGTAGTTTCAGCTCATCCAGCTCAGCCAGTTCCAGCTCAGCCAGTTCCAGCTCAGCCAGTTCCAGCTCAGCCAGTTCCAGCTCAGCCAGTTCCAGCTCAGCCAGTTCCAG